TCCTAGAGTACCTGGAACGTGCATACGATCGAGGACGCTTCCAACGTTCCGATGTGATGTTACAGTATACCCGCATAAAAAACAAATAAATTGTAGTAAAATGACACAATCCATGTATACCTGACATTTAAGTTAGATGATATACCAGCATTTGATGTGAATATGTACATGTGCAAACTAGAATAATGAATAATGATATTATTTATCTATGATTAATTATTATGAAATAGGAAATTCATCGGAAATTCAAGGAAGCATCTGTTTATGATATTTTAAAACTCGACGCCTGTAATTTATTGCTTCGACACCTATACATTTTAAGCCTGAATTTACGTTTCAATGCGCATTATTTACATCTGTATGGATGAAATTAGGCGCCTTGCCCATTCTATTCATTATGCAGATTTGCCAACAATTGTGTCCTACTTTCAACTGATTGTTTCGAAGACAATAGTGTGTGCCAAAACCCCAGAAAATCACAAAAACCTATGTTGTGGTAGCTTACTATGAAGTGACCCATTATCATTATAGATTGGTCCATCAACTATTCATTTTTACTTGTCTGCACTCAAAAAGGTGACACGAAAGGGCTAAACGGCTTGCACCAAGGTGCAACCATCAAAAAGATGAGTTTGATAAAAAATTATTTTTTTCAAATAATAGCAATGGGTAACAATATAGGAGGCAAATTTGGTATTGATAAGTATGATAGTCCATTTGCGTGTGGCCATTTTTATAAAAAACAATAATTGTGAAGAATTATATATTTCTGACCTGAAAATACCATATTTATTCAAAAGTCATGGTTGTTAATGATAATATTCCTATTTCACCTATTCAATGTTTTCAAAATATTTTAATTACCATTATATTCATTTTTGGCAAAGTAAATAAATATAGGGCTCACACAAGGATCAACTTTATTTTCAATATTTTCATATTTAGTGATGTTTTGAAAAAATATAAGGTTAAACACAATTTTATTTGTTAAATGTTTAACAAAATAAACAGAGTGTGTTTATTTCATTGTTTTGACTGAAAAATCGCAATTCATTGCTCTTCCTCTTAAAACGGCAGGGGATATACAAGTACATAAACAGTCTTAAAAAACGTTGATCCTTGTGTAAGCCCTACACTTATTTACTTTGCCAGAAACTGATATAATGGTTATTCGGTGGTATGAAAATCATTTCAGAGGTAAAATAGGAAGAATGTCTTTGAACTTGGAATAAAAAGCATTATATGGTTAGAAATACCCAATTTTTACCATAATTGTTTTTAATAATATAACCATACCCTCATGGACTATCTTTACATTTCAGTAACCAATGTGCATTATATTTTGCATGTTTTACTGCAATTATTTGTAAAAATATTTTTAAATCTTACATTTTTGACTGGAAAGTGAAGAGACAATACTCAAATATACTCATATTATTGGTCACATTTGGTAATTTCACCCAAACAGATTCGGGATTTTTTAGTCCAGGCATATGAAGAAACTAGTGTGAATTAAATGGTCGTATTATACAATACAATACAATACAATACTGATCCAATTCAGAATTACTAGAGAAAGTAACTCTCGTGGCTGTTGATTACTGATTGCAGTCATTAAACTAATAACCTCATATTTGGATGTCCTCTCTCCTGATATGATTTTACAATTCACTTCAAATTGGCAAAGGACCAGGTATAGTATGGCAAGTGATATCCGATCGTCATATATTTTACCATGACTACTTTCTCAATATAAATATGACATTTCTCAAAAACACAATATGTTATCTTTCAAGAAAATTCAATTCTCAATGATTATAAAAATATCATTCAAACAATCTAAAAAACTATGAATGGGGAACCCATCTCAACATTTTTTTGAAATTATTTACTCAACAGAGGTTCTTCTTTTTTATTTGAATTGCATGAAAATATTATTCAACAAGTGGTCTAAAACTTTTTCATTAGTAGAGATATCAACTTTCAATGACCACAATTATGTTGAAAACAATGGATAGTTTGAGTTTTTCCAATGGAAAATAACATGGAACTTGTGGTTTTTAACTTTATCGCATTTCAATACCCGTCCCCTTTTCAGAATTTGTTAATTCATTAGCGTAGAAGAACTTTTGATATATTCGAATTAACAAAAAATACTTTAGAAAATAAACCTAATATTTTTCAAAAAGTGACAAGGTGGGGATCTTATCAATAATATTTCAGATACATTTTCAAATATTTATATTTTCAATTTCAATTTATTGATACATTCAAGAATTATGTTTACGAATGTTATTAATAACAGGTGGCACCACATTTGATGCTTATACCCGTACATATAGTAGTAAAATCATGTAGTGTATCATTAAGTTGTCAAGGAATCAAACCAGAATGAAATCATAAAAAATAAGTTGAAAAATAAAGGTTGAGGGGGATTCATGATGTTTTTTCTTTTCAAGTGAAGAAGTTGGATGATATCATTTTTATCACACGGACTTTACATAAGAAAAATCATATTGTTTTCACAAAAACACGTTCAGCCCCAAAACGCCAAATACTAATTAGATATTGGGCTATGACCTTGAAATGATCTTGATCCATAAACATTGACTTATAGATCTCTGGTCATTTTATCATTGCTCATTAAATAGGACTGTAGCCCCACATTTGCCAACTACTTAGATATTGACCTTGAAATGACCTTGACACCAGGTCACCTAATCATTGGTCGCCAAAGGTCACAATAAATTGCGAGATATTGACCTTGTTACCCTATCATGAGGGGGCCACAGCAGATACCAGGGCCTTAATACACCAAATACTTAGATACTGATATTTGATCTTGAAATAACCTTGACCTCAGGTCACACATTCATGATTCACAAAGGGTAACCTCAGCCCAAAAACGCCAAATATTTAGATATTGATGACCTTGAAATGATCTTGACCTATAGACCTTGACCCTGACAACAGGTCACCTAATAATCGGTTGTCAAGGGTCAGAATTGTTCTCAACTGCCTTAAAACACCAAGTTGCTAGATATTGACCTTGAAATTACCTACACCCATTCAGTTGATCTTTACCTCAGGTCACATAATCATCGGTTGTGAAGGGTCACACCATCGGCAAAATGTCTTAAAATGCCAACTATCCTAGATATTGATATTTTAAACTTGAAATTACCCTGACTTTTGACCTATGTTGAATACACATTTTATGAACAAAACATAGTACGAAGTTGAAAACTGATCTTTTTGAAATGAAATTGCTGCTAATGTTTCAAAACTAAGGTATCTTTATTGCAAAAGTAATATTCAAATTGGATAAACAAAAAGAGATAGATTATCCAATCTTCCATCAGATTTAGTAAAATTATAACTCTTAAGTAAAGTTGCAATGAATGCTCACACATACTTGTTGTATATCAATCTAGTGCAACTGCTACAGGTATCACTCTGACACATATCTGTGAACAAATCAAACTTCTTTGATGTTGATGTAATGCAAATTGGTATCTTTTAATATGACGTCCGTAAAATAAACCATCAATACTAGGATTGTCAAAACTTGCATTAATAAAATCAATTCCCGTCTCATCACTGTCACACCCATTACTACAAGATGATGCCTCTTAGATCACTGTCTGCAAGCTATAAACTAAGTGATGCACTATATGCTCGTAATACTTTTTTATTCAAAATCAAAAGTCAATGATACTTTTCCTATTTTACCTATTAAATGATTTTTATATATTCGAATAACCATTATATACGTTTTTGACAAAGTAAATAATTGTAGGGCTCACACAAGGATCAACTTTTTGATGACTTTTTCGTACTGGTGTAGACTCTCCTGCTTGCGAAGCAAGGGCGATGAATTGAGATTTTTCAGTCGAAACAAGAAAACAAACATATAATTGTTTTTTCTTCAACAAATAAAAAATAAAATTGAGTTTACCTTCGTATTTTTTCAAAACATCACTTTATATGAAAATGCTATGAACAAAGTTGATCCTTGTGTGAGCCCTATAATTATTTACTTTGTCAAAAACTAATGAAATGGTTATTGGTATATTTAAAAAACACTGACTATATAAAATAGGAATAATATCCTTGACAACAGTAACTTTTTAATTGAAATCGCATTTTAAGGTCATAAATATCCAATTTTTTACCATAATTGTTTTTCATAAAATTACCACACCCGAATGGACTATCATTACACATCAATATCAAATTTGCATCTTATTTTGTATACTTACAAGTATTATTTAAAAAAAATGTATATTTTTCAAACTCATCTTTTTGACGGTCGCACCTTGGTGCAAGCCGTTTAGCCCTTTCGTGTCACTATTTTGACTGCAGACAAGTAAAAATGAATAGATAATAGATCAATCTAAAATGACTATGGGTCAATTCATAGTAAGCTACCACAACATAGGTTTAGCCTAACTAAGCCACTTAGAAAGCAATTTGGCACACACTACAATACGTCCTACTCCATTGTGGGATCCACAGCCTTTACTATCTTTTGGAATAGTTCAGACTCTCTCAAAAGCGTCGGGTAAAGAGGGACTCTGATAAATCAAAATGGTCCTACTCCCATCTGAAGCAAAGGAACGAGTAAATAGAACAGACGTAGGTGTCATACATGCATTAGAGAAATGCAATAATGTTAAGAATTTCCCCTTGACCACTAATCTTCAACAGAGGAAGTTTTCCTTGCTAGGTCATGACAGAAGTCAATAGGCGCATCTTCGAATTCCAAGTGGTTATGAATTTGGAGCAACTAAAACCTTGAGAATGAAGATGCAATAGGCGAGGCAAACGCTCATATTAGCTACCCAACTTTACCTGTTCTCACGTGTAACTTTAACTGTACTCGCGTGCAACTTTACCTGTACCCGCGTGCAATTTTACCTGTACTCGCGTGCAACTTTACCTGTGCTCGCGTGCAGCTTTACCTGTACTCGATGTGTCTAGTATTATTTGTCTTCCAGGATTAAAATACTTCGAGAACAGACCGTTACCGTAGTGGTATTCAACGCAGAATACAGAGTCATGAGAGTTACTGAATTGTGACATGAGCTGCTACAAATAAATGATGAAAATATACATTTTATAATTGTAGTTTGTTTTGTAATATTTAAAAACACATCATCTACACATGGTTTCATCAATCGTTAAAAGTATGGTTTCAATTTAATTTAAACTTTGTCTAATAAGTTAATTCAGAGAGTACATGTACCTTGCCTTTGTCTATTATACTATCTAGTATATCTGAGACATATACTCCCTCCATATGTTTAACAATCGAAAGTGTCCATTCGATGGTATACCAATAAATACGTATATTTATCGTATGATCTGTAAAATGATGCCTTCTGATTGGTCAGTTCTTGTGCTATACCAATCTTTATCGTATGATCTGTAAAATGAAGCCTTCTGATTGCTCAGTTCTTGTGCTGTACCAATCTTTATCGTATGATCTGTAAAATGAAAAATGAAGCCTTCTGATTGGTCAGCTCTTCTGCTGTGCCAACCTTTATGCTACTGAGATTGTCCCCATTGATCATCTCCGTCGCAATACAGAAAATATTGGTACGGAGGGGACATTCTCAGTAGCAATACAGAGGATTATTCCATGATGGTAAAATTCCCTGCAATCTGATTGGTCCACGTGACTTAAATATATCCTGTATTTACACGCAAATTCCACTGAGCGTTGGATACAGAGTGAAAATTACGTCAGCGTTGGGATACGGTCCAGTATCCCAACGCCCCAGATTTCCATCAAGGATATGACTATTACTGAAAAAATCAACGCATGCTAATATTTGCATTTTGCTACAAATATCTGATTTGAATATCAGGAAATGATACGGTGATCATCACACTTTATAATTTTAGGATAAAACACGCATCGGTAAATATAACAAAATATATTCAAACATGACCGTGCTCTAATTGAATTTCTCAACCAATCAGAATGCAGCATAGCCAATATAGAACGTTCTCTAATTCTCCATAGATGCACGACCGTGCTCTATCCAATCATCCGGGAATCTACGTATTGTATTTGCATTGTGACGTCACACCTGGGAATGGCGAAAATAACAGCGAGCTCGAGTTTGGTGTATCTCATGTAGCTCCAATCCCCAATTCTCTGAACAATGTTTTCATTTTTATATGTTTGAATCGGAATAAATAATGATAGGCCATTCAATATGGTGAAATTCAGCACTCGTTGGACAGAATGTCAGTACAAATGCACTCACCTTCGGTTCGTGCTTTGTACGACATTCTGTCCAACTCGTGCTGAATTTCACCATATTGAATGGCCTATCATTATTTATTCCTTAAACAAAGAATCAATATGAAGCATGAACATTGTTTTCATGAACTAGTAAAAATCCAATATGGCAGACGAAAGTCGAAAAAACGTTTCGCTACACTGCACTTCCAGCTGATGAAATTGAAGAAAAAATAAATGAAATCAAACTTATAATACAATAAAAGCAAACAACAAGGCCGAAAAGACTTTGAAGGAATTTCGATGTAAAATATCTTTGAGGTGAGAATTATAAGGTTGATCTGTTTCTCCGGTCCCGAGCCAAGGAAATGGACTTAATTTAGGGGAGTTTTATCTGAGTAATCATGGAATAAAAACGTTATTCAATGATTTCTCGTAAAATCCAGAAAATATTCTTCCCTTGAAGGTCTGTATTTCACTCTGCTAGCGCATCGTGAAATACGACCTTCTCGGGAAGAATATTTTCTGTATTTTACTCGAATCATTGAATAACTTATATCACACCAACGCGGAATTTTTCGAGCAGAATATATCCTGTATTGCACTTCAAATCATTCAATAACTTATGATATCAAAGTCTGGATCCTTATTTTGTCCTTAATTGCAATAGTTGGAAGAAATATAACTTTTTTTCGCAAAGCATAAACAGGCTTAAAGCGATAAAGTGATCCAAATTGAACTTCGGGGAGTGTACTCATTTAACATATATAGGTGGCGCGCATTATGAATTCATAAGATTCAGAGAAAAAAAACAGTTTTACACACCTCTAATGATGAAAATAGAATTTAGATAAATCTTAATTAACGTTAGTATGTGTGACTCTATTTTAGTCTCATGAGGTTACGTTAACTTGTTACTCACGGAGAATCTGTTTCAAGTTGATCATTTTAACAGTTCCTATATCGGTACTTTGGTATGCGGAAGTTGGATTTAGCTAGTAAAGTGAACGCTGATTGGTTATATCTTATCATATTACAAATTATAATTGGTTTTTGCGTGTCAGTGTAAATATATATAGACAAGCATTTTAAATCACATCTGACAGTTCTCTGCTCCAGTGCTAATCAATAAATCATTGCTTATAAATCATCAGTGATAAATTGAAATATGAATTGCATCAATTGCTTGTAGAATATGAGGACCTTATCAAATTCGTCACTTTAATTTATACTTTAATACAGGCAGATGACGCACGGCACGAGTTCTTGTGACCGTTGAGAGTAAAGCCACATTTACTCTACGGCGGCCGTAGTTTCACAAAATCGATAAAGAAAATCTGCATCGTACAGCTCATCTCTATATTTCATGCTGCATATTTCTCTCGATTTGGGTGAGCTACGGTCGCCGTACGGTTGCCGTAGATCAAATGTGACTGGGGCATAAGTTACAAAACATGGTGTCGAGTTTGCATTTTTTCCTCTCATTCTCTAAAAGGTTAAATATTTCTCACTGTAATTCAGGAAATTTTTTAGGTTTATTTCGCAAAATGAAAATGTGGACGTCACCCTTTTAAATTCGATGGCAGGTACAATGCCAGCCGTGTAAATACAAATGGACATTGAGGAGTATCAGGATTTGACATGGTTGTCCCTAACACAAATGCATAAGCGAACTCTAAAAATGGTTTCTGTTATTTTGGACAAAGTAGTCATCGTTGAGATCCATATAGACGCCACGTACACTGCCCCCTCCCCCTGACGTCTTTATAACAAAATGGATGTACTTCTGTCAGACGATTTCTTTATTTTCATTGTTTTCACCAAGAAGTAGGTCGAATTGTATCCAAATATGTTGCCTGTATGTTAAAAGTAACATCCGTTTACAAAAAAGCTAGTCAGGCACGAGCAAATATTTCCAGCAGCCCCAATAATACAGTGAGAAGTCCTCACTTCAGCAACCAGGACTTTATCTGGTGAATATTTCATAACGTCCGGGTTGTGTTTCGTCATAGCATATTAATCAATTGGTTGCTGAAGTGAGGAATTGTCACTCGATCATTGGAGCCCTTGGATGTATATATTCGTGACTGATTCGCTTTTCAGTAACCGGATGTTACTATTAACGTACGGGTATATTATTTGGATACTAATCGACCTCCTTCTTGGTGAAAATGATTAAAATAGAGTTTTTCAAGTATAAAGGTATTACAATCGTTTTATCTGCTAGCTAATCTTAGTATGACGTGATGCAAACATATAAGTGAACTCTAGATAAGGCTGGAGAGTTAAAGCAATTTCCATTGTCTTCTTGTATTACATCATCTGCCAACGATTACAAATACCACTCCTCCAGAATGTAGTAGAAAGGTGTTCCCCTTGAAGATATACAATCCACGAACACCTCCTCCAAGCTATACCAATGACTCCATGGGCCCAGGAACATGTTTAATCAATGCAAAATTGAAGTTTGTCCAATCGGAGTGTCTGAATCCCCTGAGAAAAAATATTTTCCTAGGGGACTCAGACTGGTTTTTATACATGTTCCCGGGCCTATGAATGAACCGCAGGGCTGGCCTAAATTCAAGGGTCTATAGTATGTGGAGTGTCGATGAAGAGTGTAAATCATTTAAACTCCCAACGTGGCATTCTTAAGGTGGGTACTGTTTGATAAATTGTGAATCGATGTCAATATCAATACCATATCATTACTCATTACAATCGACCCACCTTAATAAGTCAATATGTACATGAGAGTTTTTAAGCTATGTTTGCTTCACCCTTGCAAAATGGCAAGATCGAGTGATAATTCTGATCTGAAAGTTGTAGACCCGATGTATATGCAACGAGATCAGCTGCTATTTACAAGCGAAATGTTAATGAATAAAATATTTCATTTTCAAGTAGTACCCTGTATAGTAATAATCTTTAGTAACGATAATTAAATCATTGCAATCTAAAAAAGAGTTTAAAGGGCACTTGAACAAGAATATTTATGACATTGCATTTTTTTAAATCAACATATATGTAGGATATGATGTTCTAGAGCTGAGAGCTGTTGTTCTTAAGTTGCATCTAGGTCGACTAGGCAATTGCGGGAGGCAGTAAGTCGGATCTAGGTCGACTAGGCAATTATACGAGGGAGTACTACTACCCTGAGCGCAGAGGTAAGTAATTTTTATTTTAAGATGCCCTGCCAAAAGAGTGGAAAGTGTAAGGTGGTAAAGTACAGCCTAGATAGTTCTAAGAGTTTGCATTAATGAAATATATGCTATATATATGTTAATTAACACATTTTGGTAAGTAAAATTTTCACCATTGTATTTGTGAGCTGACGAGAAGTCACCGGCGTCCACGATTAAGGTTGAAAACACGGGAAAACATGATTGCCCAATTCAACAGGGCTCAACATTCAGTCTATTTCCATTGCCCGCATAGAGTACGTTAAACGTGACTGACAAGTGGACTCACAACGTCTACTTAGACTGTATTTTAGCATTTTGTACAAGAACTACATAACATGTTTGTCTAGCTTTTTACATAGTATGCACGATCATGCAAGATATGCTACATGTTTATTTTAACACTCATACCATTTCTGCTGGTATATTAAGCTGCATATTAAGTACTAGCTAGTTGATGTTATGGTGTTAAAAATTCGAAACATAAGGGAATAAAGAAAAATTGCCATGGTGAAGTCTATTTAACATGTCTTTAATACAATGCGATTCATATGCAATATACGTAGAATGCATTTGGAAATGAAATTTAATAGCCGCCCCCTCAAAATATCTTTCGTAATCATCTACTATTAATTCGAATTTTTGTGCTTTCTGATTATTAGGTGGAAGACAACATAAACAAAACGGTGACCATGGCGACCAAGGAATTGTTCTTAGACACATTAGGAAGTATTCTCAAAATACCTCCTGCAGATATAGACACAACCAAGGACTATTTCTCAATGGGGGGTAACTCAATCAATGCGGCAAGATTAGTTGTAACACTTAGGAAAAAAGGAGTCAAACTGGCGCTTAGCGATTTTCTGGATGCAAAATCATTGGATGATCTTTTTGCAAAAGTGAAGGTATGTTGTATGTTGTTAACCCCCCTGGTGCAATGCTAATTCATCCAAAAAGTATTAAAATGCTACTGAGAAATATTACTTATAATCATGTATATCTCAAGGCTAGTGGAATTGTACATATTACTCATCGTTGTAAGCCACGCCCTCTCTATCCTTCTGGAGACATCTGCGATGCAACAGAGAGAGAGATGCTATGATTATCAGAATGCATATTACTTATATAATACTAATCAGTACAAACTAATAAGAATCATAAGCTAATAATTATATTTTACTGGCAAGGAAACCTAGTGCCCTAGATCACTTTTATAGTTCAAATCGATAATTAGTGAAATATGCTTTTTATCGTTTATTTTACTATACGTCTTAAATTCTTTAGGTGAATGACCCGCTCAAGAAATTCTCAAAAATCTATGACGAAGATGAAAAATTTGCTTTGGTTGATTTGGGTGAATGCCCAGACCATAAAGAAGCTATCGACTTTCTCACAAAATCGTTTTTCGAGAGAGACGCTCTGGTTATATGCTGCAAAACGACTTACGAACGCTTGAGAAAAGCATTTGAGCTCATGTGGGACTATACTATTAAAGTGAATTACTCGATCGGCGTCGTTGAGAAATCAACCGGGAAAATAGTGGCGGCGAATCTGAATTACGATTATGCAGTCTACGACAAGGATTTTGATTGGGTAGCGGCGTGGCCCGAAGAAGTCCTTCCGATATTCGCCGCTGTCGAAGTTCTAGAGGAGGAGCTCAAGGACGCTACGATAAGAGCCAAGGATGGGGCTTGGTTCTATTCGTTCATATTTGGAACAAAAGACGCTTTGGACCACAGGGAAAATCTTGCTGTTACCCATCTAGTATCTCGCTCTACCGAAAAATTCGCAAAAGCAAAGAACTGCGTTGGACTTACCGTCATTGATACAAGCCCTGTCACTGGCGTAAGTTGTCTCTTTCAAATAATATTGATGGTAGGCCTACCCCCAAAGAGTATGATCCTTACGCCCCGGGAAATTGATCAGAAAATTCACTTTCCAGTGATTTGCCCCAGGCCTCGGCAACTGATTTTACCAATTTAATACCAGTTCTTGTAGAAAAACTTAATTTTGACCTAAAAAGGTAATTCATTAGACAATTTTCCATGTTTTTCCGGGTTTAGGCCTCACATTTAATAACGTGGCCGCGTGTCTGCATGACAAAGATATATTATGACATCATACCTTGTTGGTCGCCTGTTTTTAGTGTTATCATCAACTTGTCTCTTACGTTGAGGAGGTATATAGTGTGCTTGTATATTTTAATACGCTCAACTCCTTTTACAATGCACTGGCGGATCCACTTGGGTGGACAAAGAAAATTTGAGCTCAAAATTGTTTTTGGGCCCAAAGATTTTGTAGGGCCTCAAAATGGGCCTTTTCTAGCATAACTTGGCCTTTTGGATCTTTTTAGGGCTAATTATCAAAAATGGGCCTTTAATTTTCAAAATTTCGGTTTCAAACATTTTACCCAGTTGAATGAAATATGGGCCCCCTTGTTAGCGTCTGGACCCGCCAATGAATGTATCTCAAATCTTAAAACTGTAGCAATTGAAATATTTCACATAAGGCCGAATATATTCACTTGTAGCGCCGTTGCAATAATTTTGTATTTAGTATTTGTTCGAACACAAGAAATCGTCGAATTTTGTTCTACCATTGTGACAAATCAAACCCCCTCCCCCTCACTTGCAGTATTTTGATCTTAACTGTGGTAGGAATTCTGTGTTAAGAATGTTCTGGCGAGTGTGTTTCTTATTTGACTTCTTATACTGAATCCAAAAGAAATATTGACAAGCGGATATATGATGAATATTATTGATAAACATGCAAATATTACATTTTATGACACGTGCTGGTTAACAAATATTTTACCTTTCAGGACACATTTGGAATTGTTTTAAGACAAATATTAAGGTAGAATCAGAAAGTAACCCTTTTGCCTCTTTGTATAAAATAAAAATGTCAATGAAGCAATAATATAACAGAAACTGGTAATTTTTATCAGAAGGTCAAAAGAACTATGTATGTATGTATTTGAATGCCTGGTTTCCATTTTCTAGTCAATCCAAAAAGTTCACATTTCAAACAAGGCATATTTGATGTAATTTCCTAAAATATGTAAGATGGCCTCCTAACAAATTAAAGCATAGGCCTAATACATCAATTCATGATAACAGTGAATCCAGAGAAATCAAACGTTTTGTGTCATGATCAGGTAATAGTAGATTTTGATCCGCGGCGCACGTTTTCTTTAGTCTCACCTATCTTATATTTGTAGCTTCAAACAAACTTCCTCAAGAAAAAATCTTACAGATTTGCAAAAAGTCACACGGTCCCCCGAAAAAGATTTGGGGCCTTTTTAAAGCGATATTTCATATTGATCAATACATGAATGCTTTTCCAGGCTCTTGATGATGAATATGGATATACTGCACTTGGTAGTTTCCAACTGAACACATTCGATCTCGAGGGAAGAAAACCATTCGCAGAATGCGAGGACTTCCACGAAATGAAATTCTTTTACAAATTCATCGAATGAGGACTTCTACCATCGACAAGATGAAATTCTTAAAAATTCATCGAATTGGGGAAAACTAGACGAAATGTCAAAAAATCAATTACTGGCTCTTATGGAGGTTTACGGATTTAAGTCCTGGACTCAGTGTAATGTGTGCTGAATCATTCCATTAAAGGTGTTGTTTCCAAATATTTGCATGGCCGCGCAGCGGAAATGCACATGAAAAACATCGCTTTCATGGAATGAAATTGACGACTGTTTAACAAGTGATTTTGAATGCAATGATTAGTGATGATATAATGCACTGCAGTTGTGTGAAATACTGTGTTCGCCTTGGCTGGATCAGCAACCAGCTTCCTGCCTCCTAGCATAATTAAAGCTTTTGTAACATCTATGCTTCAAAATAAATAAAGACAACACTAGAGAGAAGCTCAAAGGGAATCGATTAACGGGTTTATTTTCTAAAAAGTAAAATCGTTAAGTAAAAAATACAAATATTAAACAAAAATTTAATAAAAAGGAAATAGGATATTGCTCTGTTCAAAATTCTTTCATCATTGTCTAAATAAAAACGTTACATCCTTTTGCTTGTGGTAAATTTGTTTGGGCGTTTAATGGAATGCTACATCAAAGGTTAAATGTCCAACTGAACAGGTAATTTATATTATTATGCACCTCATTAAAATAGTCAAATCTGATTGGTTAAAAGCTGCAGAGTCTATTGCCATACGTGGCAGCAAGATCTCGTTCTATCCAGTATTGAAGCAACGAGATCTCAAACCATCCCGTATGCCAGAATACCTATCCTCGAAAAAATACTAGACTCGGCTTCTGTTTTAGTGGACCCATTCTTTAAAATAAAGTATTTCTTGACAATTGAAAAAAGGTGCATAATAAAATAAATACTGGATGACCATGAGGTGGATAGGCCAGAATACCTTTCCGAGGAAAAAAATACTAGGCGAGGCGAAGCTGGTCATACTGGTCATCCAGTATTTGTTTAATATCTCCCACAAGTTTTTGTTGCATACGATGGTGTATTGTAGAAAAGTACGTAACGGGTGATAATACTGAATACTTACCATTTGCATTCGCTCGACTTCGCTTCTTAAAAGAGAGCTTCATCTGAACGCAGACTGCGCACAGAGTCTAGTTTATAACTAGACTGCGCCCAGTGTACTGAAGACTAGGTTAAACTATTGATTTGTACAAAAATGTCTTCTGCTCAAAAATATAAAACCGCTATTCGGTTTCAGGCTATCCTCAACAGGTGCAAAGACCCTATGTGTTAGGCAATCTTTAAGTATAAAGAGTGTATTTGGTAGGCTTATGTTATCCTCAGATTAACAGGCTGACTTCAGTCGACTCGATATGAATAGATGGGAGAAATATAAGAGAAGCGCAGCTATTTTGTTTCTGTAACTAACTTGTAGATGGGGTCCATTGATCAAATTGGAAAGAGGTCGCATGATGAGTTTCGCGTAACCTCAAGATATTATGATAACACGTCCACTTAAAATCCACCTCGCCACAACCAACTTACAGATTAAATTAAAATGCATAAATATCGTATGCTTTATGGTGCTTTTTCAATCAACAAGTTAAATATAGGCTCGTTATTTATTTTCAAGGTGAATATGACTGTTATATATTAGTATGATAATGAGAAAGTAAATTAAATACAAAAAAATCGATAACTAAACGAATGTACTAATGTTGTAATGATGACATATATGTGATATCTTACAGGGTGATGCAAGATAGATTTTACAGATTTTATATAGGCATAACTCAATGAAATGTGTATATATTATATCAATTATCAGTTTATATAAACACGGTAATTCTATTATTTTAGTGAGTGGAATGTAGAATTAGAGCTTTCTCAAACATTTTACATGTTCTGGACCTCTACAAAATATTATGCCACGGGATATCATAATCACAAAATGTATTTTGGAATTTACCATGCCATGGTTGATTGAAATTACTGAACAATACGGTAGCAACAATACTAGATAGTACGTAGTTGTACCGTTTGCCAACGTTTTATATTATCCCTTTAAATCTCTTGCGACGAACTCCGAATTTGGTTATGGGGTGGTGACATAAAGATGATATAAAGAATCGGACGTTGTATAATTAATAAATAGCAACAGTTTTTGTTAAGGCTATGAAATATGAAACAAGGTGCACAATTATATTAAAATGCCCTGTAAAAAATTGAATACTAGTATAGTATGCGCTATTTAATTAAAACAAAATGAGGATGGTAAACAGCAGGAAAGGGATTTACATATTATGGATTTGGTTACTATCGTGCACTCGAATCGCCATGGCAACTTGTTTGAACGGCAAACCACCATTTTCTCACCAAGGTGTCCGTTTCTGTCCTTATGATTATCATGGATGCTGTACCTTTGGCCAGATCTACGTAATTCACCAACGGTTAAATCAAATGAATAGAGGATTCGTGAATATGGGTCTTGGGGAAAACGATTGTACTCACTGGATCATGAATTTGCTGTGCATGGAATGCTCTCCCTTTGCGTATGAACTCTTAAAGCTTCAAAATCCAGGAGCGTCTATACCACGAACCGAACCGAGGGAATTTGCAGATCCCATATCAGCGATGTGTACAAAGGATTGCGTGCAGATGCTAGACGAATGCCCCGCTATCAAAATGATGCAAACATTTGTTACTCAAACCCAGGCACAAAAGATGACCTCGAAACAATTATGTAAATCCGTTGAAAAGCGCCGACATAGCACGACAACGACAACATACAAACAAATGTGTTATCCTGACCTAGTCAGTGATCCGTGGAAAGCTCAGTCGCCTGAGACAACAGATCGAAATGATCCCGATTGCTTTTGCGTGGAAGATATAATCACATCGGGGATAGAGCAAGTGGTCTTTCTGATCCCATCTACAGACAACTCGGGGCGTGTATTCTTTGGTGAACAAAAAGGCAAGGTTAACATTATTAAGAATCCTGGTAAAGATAACACCATTTCTGTCTTCTTAGATATCGAGCATCTAGTATATAATGGGGGAGAGCATGGACTGCTAGGAATGGACTTCCATCCTGATTTCCAAAACAATGGACGGTTTTATGTTTACTATAGTGTCTTAGCAACGGTTACAACATCGAATAGAATACCCGATTCGCGGATAAGTGAATTCCGAACATTTCCAAACAATAAGGATGTAGCAGATATAAGTACTGAACGTGTGATTCTTAATATTCCTCAACCGGGCTATAATCATCAGGGAGGACAGGTACGTACAGAAATAAAGATGGCAAGAGTGTAGTTCATATGCTAGTTCTCTCTCTACTCCACAGTGTACTCTGCCATCTTATGCATCTTCATTTGTGGAGTGATGATGTGCTCATTTTTCTGTATACCGTGAATATCAGTTCTTGCAGAGCTTATTTGTTATTGAAGAACTGACATAGCCTACTACTACTGTTCATGTATGATCTGCTGCCATTGTAACTAGCATCTGTATTTTTACGACTTCAGCTATCCTTCGGGAAAGACGGCTATCTGTATCTTTTTTGTGGCGACGGTGGTCCGGGGAATGATCCCAATAGGTTTGGACTGGATAGGTAGGCATGGGGATATAAACATACATGTAATAGCCTCGAAGTAATTGACAGAACCCCCATTGCATCAATGGTGTCATCCCAACAGGTTTAAATGCAATTTCTTCGAAATCATAAAAAGGAAATATTTAAGTCAATTGCTTCGAGGCTATTTTTAGGGTCTCTGAAGGGATATCATTTTGACTATGTTTATAAAGCAAGTTGGGGTTTTCCTTTGATAATCAACCCGATAAGTTGTGTTTGTCTAGGAGTGTTTTGTATGGGAAGATATTGCGGATTGACGTGTCCAATACATCTGTACCATATACAATACCAGACGACAACCCGTTTGTCGGTGAAGCTGGGGTGAGAGAAGAGATATACGCATATGGCCTGCGCAACCCATGGAGAGGAGATTTTGACACTGGGAATCGACAGACTGGTAAGTTACAGAAATACGTACAACGATATAAAGCCAAAAGGATTTATATATTCTCAGCTGGGCTTATTTTCCATACCCTCGTCAATCCATGATAAATGATCGTTACCAGAGGTCGACCTTAAAAGCGATGGGCATCAAAAGAGAGGGTCTTATAGATCAGAATACCAAGAGAAGTCATTTTCGTTCTTGAATGATATGTCCACTGCACAAACCTTATCTCTGTTCTCAATCATACTATTGTAGAAATGTCAACATATTCCGCTTTACAATATAGGCGAGCACGAAGGGAGAGTGTTCATCATTGACGTTGGCCAGAGATTCTGGGAGGAAGTCAATATATTAGTGAAAGGTGGCAACTATGGCTGGAGTGAGAGAGAGGGCTACGCATGCTTTAAAGGCAGGTGTGATGGACCCAGGGAAGGGTCGGAGTTATTTCCGATATTTGCATATGGTCACGAAGAAGGACTGTCCATCACTGGCGTACAACTATACCGGGGATTAAGCAGTCCTAATTATGAGGGATTTTTACTGTTAGCTGATTTGGCATTCATTGGACGGGGTCAAAAGTTTCAGTAAGATTATAATAATGCAAATTTCATTAATATATGTCAAATTTATGTATAAATATTATAATGTTTTTCGCTCGGCAACGACGAATATGCAAAGATGAGTTCTTTATTAAGTTTACGTTCTGTAGGAGAAAACTATGGAAAGTAACTGATCCAGGGGTGGAGGGTAATTGGACTGACTATAAGAGGATTGGTTTGTGTGACGTTTCAGTATGTGACCCACATTTGGGGTACTCTGATAACCCCATCCCAGGGAGCATTTTATCGTTTGGCAAAGATGGAAATGGTAATCATTGAAAATAATACAGAAGAACCTCTCTAAGTGGAACACCTTTGGTACCTCTAAAAAGTGTTCCACTTGGGAGGTGTTTCACTTATAGAGGTTGATTTAACATCAAGTCAGTTGGTTTTGTGATTCCGGACTCTGAAAAGTGTTCCACTAACAGGGGTGTTTCTCTCCCAGAGGTGTTCCATTTTACAGGTATCACTGCATAAGTCCTACTAGTTGTGTCCAATCAGCGAAACAAAATGTGTTTCCATTATTCTATCCATGAAATAATTCCTCTACTGATTACCACACAGGGTGATGCTGTATAAGTTATTTACACTAATGACTATATTATAAACTTAATGTTCTAGCAACGCATCTACGCGCTCTTATAGACCATGTAGAAAATGTCGAATTCATGTTGGTAGTTTTTGCGATCATTTCATAATTCTATTACGTGATAACATAATTTGCAAACATCTGAATGTGTGTTTCTAGGTGAGTTGTATATACTGAACGGACTAGGTGGTGATTCTCGAATCCAACGCTTTGTAGACCCATTCAGGTGAGCTACTATCTACGATGACTGTTTTGGGGTTTCATTATGATTTTAAGTTTCGTGAAAACATACACATAACAAAAATAGGAACGTTTTGGAAATGGTTATACCTATTGTTTTGAAAGCTCTTTAGGCTTTTTATGAGTAATGTAGGAAAAAAATAAACAAATGTGACCTTAATTTTGAAACCCTTGCTTGACCCCCTACTCCCCCCAGAAATAAATCCAGATTTTGGTCCATTTTCCTAAAATTTCTGAAATTCCAACAGTAGGACTTCCATAAAAGTCGCGTGCTATTTAAGCCTGTTAAAATGCACCATTCAAGAATCATGTATCAATTGAACGGCATCTCCCTCTTAGATGATGATGCATTCTTACTAAACGCAACCCTTATGCATTTTAGAACAAGTAATCCCGCTCAAGACGGAAAAGGTAATATTTACTTTTTACCTGTCTTAAATCAGTCATACAAGGACCGATCAACAAGTTTCTTACCGTTGTCTCTCGATTTTATAATAAGAGGAGTTGGGTGCTCAAACTTTAACATGAGACAGGATAGTTAGTTTGCTTGAAACTGTACGAGTTTCATATAAATTGGTTTATTGGTAGTGACACACTGAGTCAATGCATATTTTCAATGACTAAGTTAGGTGGAGCAGCGTTATACAGGGTGGTCCAAAAAAAAGTGAACCCCTGCAACAGGCTACATTTTTCTGAATACATGCATGAATTGGCTCATATTATCACATGTTGTAGAGAAAGGTCTAAAATTTTGGTTGATGCCATAATTTATTCTCAGCCTTAAATTTTGAAGAAATTACAAGCGTTTAACAAACATGCCTGGAAATTAGATATTGTACAAAATTTTACAAATTTGATTCACGGAAATTGTTGAAACACATTGGATGGTCTTAAACAGCTTTCAGTTATAGATACAATTTTAAAACCCTACCATATGACAAAGGGGACACTATTCAAGTAGAAAACACATTTCACACTTTCATTGATCATTTTGAAGCATTTTTAACTGTTCAACAGTTCAGGGGTATGTTACCTACACCAACAGTTAGAGGGGGGCCTCTTATGGAAGGAAGTTGCCCCCTGTGACCAGAAATCTGATAACCCTTTCATCAAATATCTTTAAAAAATCAAAAGAAAATCCAATATTCAATGTTTTGAGCCATATATTATTAGAATTGGTCCATGATTTATGAAGATATTGACATTTCAAGATCATATAGGGGTATGTTCATGATTTCACTGGAAAATGCTTTCGTCTGTGGAAGCTTAGCACATCTCTTTGGATCACAATAACTTTGCAACTAACAAATGTAGGATGCTAGTTTTAAGCCATAATGTGCAGAATTTAAAATTGAACAAAGTCAGAAAATATTAGTTATTTAAGACTGCAGCTTAAAAAATTCTCAGGGGAAATGTGTTAAAGGGTTGAAGAATCGCGGATATTGAAAATCACAATTTGTCCATTTTCAGTTATGTTTGGTTAGGGCTTATAATTTCTGCAAATTTCAAGACTAAGAAAAATGTATGGTACCAACATAAATTTTAGACCTTCCTCTACAACATGTGAAAATAAATAAGAATTCCTGCAAGTAATAAGGGAAATATAGCCAGTTGCAGGGGTTCACTTTTTTTTGGACCACCCTGTATACAAAATATCAGCTGAGTTGTGGTTCTGGTTTACCGACATCGTTTACAACCTCTCGTACGAAGGCCTTAAACTTGTGTTTTTGGATTGGGTAGACATATATAGGAAGTGCATTTCAACTACATTGCATCGCAACTGCATATTTTGAAGGATGACACTACTTAGTGTTAGAACCAAAACTGCTGCTTAGTACAACTTTTATATTAAAAAAAACGCTGCTTCACCTAACTTAATCATTGAGAATGTGTTTTGTCTCTGTGTCACTACCAATGAACCAATTTATATGAAACTCGAATAGTGTCAAGAAAATTTATTACCCTGTCTCGTGTTAAAATTTGAGCATCCAGCTCCTCTCATTATAAAATCTAGAGCATACGGTAAGAAACTTTTTGATCGGCCCTTGTACGTATGGTATTATAATTGTTAACCCATTAGAAAATAATAAGCAACAATTTCAAAACTCCATAATACATGTAATATAGGGGCAGGGGTCGGGAGGTTCGAGGCGACCCCCCCCCCCCCCTTACCCCCGAAGTCAAATGCGAATCCCCCCCTGGGATTTTTTGAAAAGTGAACCTTCTTGAGAAAAGCTGGCTACGGGCCTGGTAATTAATGATCTTTACATTTAATTTTGCAGTTTGTGGTCTCGATATCGTCATTGCTATTGATGTGTCATGTCATAAGGCATCCAGTTATGCAGCCGCTGTTTTGCAAGACTTCGTACTCCCACTTGCAAAAGAACTTCGCTCGGGATCTCGACTAACTGTGATGTCCTTCCATAAGAAAACGAAAACTATGCTCCAGCTTACGGTGGGCTCGAGGACAAGTCCAATGGATCTAATTGCTGCGTTAAGAGCGTTGAAATTAAAGGGTATCAAAACGTGTAAACGAAATCTGAAAACCGTTTTGAAAACAGTTAAGAGAACGATTGGAGAACAAGGTCGCGATAAAACAATCGTGATTATAGCAACAAATGACAACTCCAAAGATTTGAATATTAAAGATCTAGCTAACAAAGCAAAGGTTTTAAAGAAGAAATCCTCGATTATGATTCTCTCATCGAGCTTTGCGCATTCACCCAAATCTGTTTTGGAACAAATTGCCAGTGAACCGCAGGCCTCGGAGAATGGTTCGAGTATGTGGGAGCCACTGATAATTTTAGATCCCTCATCATCGGGACTAATTGGAGTAGGGCCTCGGATAGTTGGAGGACTCTACAGAAAACACTGTCTCCTTTATTTTCACATATGAAGCATGTCGCCAGGACAAAATGGAAAACAATAGGCGTTGACCCCTTTATCATATTCTCCTCAAAAAAAGTTAAGGACCTCATGGGTTTACATGTTAACCCCCATATTTGTTTACACCCCAGTCACATTTCCTACGGCGACCTTGCGGTCTATCATTTCTGCGGCCAGTAACATTTCTACGCTCGCCGTGGAATTTCTGCGCTCTCATACTTTTGCAGTCACATTTCCCACGGCAGCCGCACGGTGAATTTTTAATTTCTGTTGATAAATAATACTTTTTTCATTTTATTTACATCGGGACAACTTATAAATGTTATTCATAGTGCTAGGATGTAATATCAAATGAAAAGTGATCGTGAAACATTGACAAATGATGATTCAATCTTGTTGAGCCAGTTGATTTCTACGGGGACCTCAGAAATGAACAAAAATTATAACTCCGAGTTATAATTTCTACGACTTTCCTGCGGCCTGTAAAAATCTGCTTACGCCGTACGGAGGCCGCAAGGCGAGCGTAGTTTTTCTAAGCTCGCCGCAGAAATTCACCGATTTAATTGATCTGCGGTCGACTTGCGGCCGCCGTGCGACAAATGTGACTGGGGTATCACACCCAAGTCACATTTCCTACGGCGACCTTGCGGTCTATCATTTCTGCAGCCAGTAGCTTTTCTACGCTCGCCGCAGAATTTCTGCGCTCTCATATTTTTGCAGTCACATTTCCCACGGCAGCCGCACGGTGAATTTTTAATTTCTGTTGATAAATAATACTTTTTTCATTTTATTTACATCGGGACAACTTATAAATGTTATTCATAGTGCTAGGATGTAATATCAAATGAAAAGTGATCGTGAAACATTGACAAATAATGATTCAATCTTGTTGAGCCAGTTGATTTCTACGGGGACCTCAGAAATGAACAAAAATTATAACTCCGAGTTATAATTTCTACGACTTTCCTGCGGCCTGTAAAAATCTGCTTACGCCGTACGGAGGCCGCAAGGCGAGCGTAGTTTTTCTACGCTCGCCGCAGAAATTCACCGATTTAATTGATCTGCGGTCGACTTGCGGCCGCCGTGCGACAAATGTGACTGGGGTATCACACCCAAGTCACATTTCCTACGGCGACCTTGCGGTCTATCATTTCTGCAGCCAGTAGCTTTTCTACGCTCGCCGCAGAATTTCTGCGCTCTCATACTTTTGCAGTCACATTTCCCACGGCAGCCGCACGGTGAATTTTAAATTTCTATTGATAAATAACAGTTTTTTTCATTTTATTTACATCAGGACAATTTATAAATGTTATTCAAAGTGCTAGGATGTAATATCAAATGAAAAAGTGATCGTGAAACATTGACAAATAATGATTCAATCTTGTTGAGCCAGTTGATTTCTACGGGGACCTCAGAAATGAACAAATATTATAACTCCGAGTTATAATTTCTACGCCTTCCCTGCGGCCTGTAAAAATCTACATACGCCGTACGGAGGCCGCAAGGCGAGCGTAGTTTTTCTACGCTCGCCGCAGAAATTCACCGATTTAATTGTTCTGCGGTCGACTTGCGGCCGCCGTGCGACAAATGTGACTTGGGTGTAACACCCCAGTCACATTTCCTACGGCGACCTTGCGGTCTATCATTTCTGCGGCCAGTAACATTTCTACGCTCGCCGTGGAATTTCTGCGCTCTCATACTTTTGCAGTCACATTTCCCACGGCAGCCGCACGGTGAATTTAAAATTTCTGTCGATAAATAACACTTTTTCATTTTATTTACATCGGGACAATTTATAAATGTTATTCATAGTGCTAGGATGTAATATCAAATGAAAAGTGATCGTGAAACATTGACAAATAATGATTCAATCTTGTTGAGCCAGTTGATTTCTACGTGGACCTCAGAAATGAACAAATATTATAACACCCCAGTCACATTTCCTACGGCGACCTTGCGGTCTATCATTTCTGAGGCCAGTAGCTTTTCTACGCTCGCCGCAGAATTTCTGCGCTCTCATACTTTTGCAGTAACATTTCCCACGGCAGCCGCACGGTGAATTTTAAATTTATATTGATAAATAATAGTTTTTTCATTTTATTTACATCAGCACAATTTATAAATGTTATTCAAAGTGCTAGGATGTAATATCAAATGAAAAGTGATCGTGAAACATTGACAAATAATGATTCAATCTTGTTGAGTCAGTTGATTTCTACGGGGACCTCAGAAATGAACAAATATTATAACTCCGAGTTATAATTTCTACGCCTTCCCTGTTCCCTGCGGCCTGTAAAAATCTGCATACGCCGTACGGAGGCCGCAAGGCGAGCGTAGTTATTCTACGCTCGCCGCAGAAATTCACCGATTTAATTGATCTGCGGTCGACTTGCGGCCGCCGTGCGACAAATGTGACTGGGGTGTTAACGACTGTTTTCTAAGCGGGGAACATAAGAATTCCCAATAAAGAAAATAAATCTGCATCTTGATTCTATTCACTATAAAGTCCGCAACAATTCCCCATTTGTTTAACATGGGATCTGCCATTTTTGTTACATTTCATGAAATTCATCAATTTTGACCCAATGCAATGGAGATATAACATTGAAACGTTGCGGACTTTATAGGGAATAGAATCAAGATACAGATTTATTTTCTTTATTGGGATTTCTTTTGTTCCCCGCTTAGAAAACAGTCGGTTAAACAAATATGGGGGTTAACATGTAAACCTATGAGGTCCTTAACTTTTTTGAGGAGTATATTATCAAATGTGAAGTATTCTTGTTCTTCTGTTTTGGGACAAAAATCTCATTTTCATATTGGATCTAATGGAGAGCTTTCAATCAAACTTTTGTCAAAGGATGATTGTTTAGTGGACATCGGCTAGGAAAAAGCACACAACACGTTTTTTTGAAGTTTTGATATTGTTACCAACGAAGATCTCAGAAAACCGTTTCTCAGATATGTGGAATGAATATAAGAAAATATATTTCACTTTTTGTGATTTTGTAACAGGGGTCTATGGAGAATCTCCCCTACCTAGAAGTCACATTTTCAAAAAAATAAATTTTCAAAATTGATAAACACTTTAAAATCACATTTCTAGACTTATTTTTGCATGTATTTGAATTTTTTTGGAATGATGAAAATCAAGATTATTTCTACCTATTCTATGTTATCTTGTGATACAAAAAAGTAAGAATTAGGCTTGTAAAGAAACTGGCTAAATTTTAGAAGATCACTTCCAACATTTGGACTATTCATCCCTTTATATTCCAATTTGAGCCCATACTTTTATGATTCATAAAAACAAGAACATAGAATTGTGCTGTAATATTTTATTACAATATTACATGTATAAGGAGCACAAGTGCCATAAATATGCATACACAGGCATAGCTACTCAATAATAAATATTAAACAAGTTGGCAAAGAGGTAAAGTTTGACAATTATTTGGCAATAAGAGAAAGAAATTCTATGTTTTAGTTGAGTGGGTGACATAAGTGTCAAACGCAAAAATATCAAATTGAGTAAAAATGTCACAATAATTGAGTCTTGGGATTTTCTTGAGTTCTCATTTGGACATATTTTTGTTTTCAGAAAAAACCTTAGAATTGATTACATCTGCAAAACAGGTCCTAATTGTGCATTCAACACTTCCTTGGTCCTAGTCCCATATAAGACTGCTTTATAAGACTGCCATATAAGATGCTTTGCGTTTGTTTGGTAATATTCAATGATTAATGCAAAACAACACAAATTGCATAGATTAATAACACATTGCATAGATTAATATGTACAATTCTTAATTCTTGTTGTTATTATAAGAGTTGTTATCCAGGCTTAATATATTCTTAATATGCTGGCATTAAAACCAATGGAACTCCATCAGTCCCCTAAGGAATGATCTACAAGTCTAACCCAGTGTCAATAATTTACAGCCAAGAGACACTCAACACTATGTCACAATCCTATAATCCTTCACAAGATTGTCAATGTTTTTTTATATTAAATGGAGGGAATTAATTTTTGGTTGTTTAACCACTGCACATCAAGCATTCATCTTTGTTCTGTAGAGAGCACACCATTGCCTCTTCATTCTTCTTGCTTTCTGATTCAGCCTTCACTTTGAGTTTGGATTTATCAACTGTGAACTGAATAGCATTGGCAGCTGGCTTTGTCCTCAAATAGTACATACCTGTTTTAAGGCCCTGGAGAATACAAGAGGATCAAGAAATTAGAAGTTATTAACTTGAAGGGATCAGGAATTCTCAATTACAACATAAGATGATCAAAAATTGAGCAGTTTATAACATGGGAGGATTAAGAAACCATCAATGTATTGTTACAGATAATGGACTTTTCGCTTCATTTACAGTTCTGGCTTTGTCATCAAGGTAAAGATTTAGTCAAGCTAGGGCTTTGAATGGGAGCTAAGAAAAGGTGGTCTCAATGGTACTACAGATAAGGTTCAATAATTAATGTGATCAGCTGGCAAGATTGAAAGTGTGAGGCTCTGGAAATGTAAATACACTCCAACCTTAGACTCCAATACTACACTGTCCTATGCACAAAAGCTTCACGTATGCTCACAGATTAGTAGATAATCAAACTTACAGATTTCCAGGCGAAGAAGTGCATACTAGTGAGTTTGCCATAATTTGGTTCTGCAATGTGGATGTTTAGGGACTGACTCTGATCGATGTATGCCCCTCTGTCAGCTGCCATCTGGATAACCTTTTTCTGTGAGATTTCCCACACTGTCTTGTACAGAGCCTTTAGGTCATCGGGGATCTCATCAATGTTCTGAAATGTATATGTAATTGTGTGTATAGAATGTACACTATAAAATGCAAATTCACTCTATACATGTTATTGCTTGTAAAGCTAAAGTGATCATTTTTCACACAATCCCATCTTACTGTACATAAATAAATATCACTATTAAAATCACAAAGTAAGGGATGCCAGGTGTCAAGTCATCCAACTATGATCTTATATCTGGTATTAACATGCAAGAGGATAAAGGCAATATCCTCAAGGAAAATATCAATATCTTCTGTGTGACATCAATATTTTTCCATGTGACATGCCCTATATTCTAATCTAAGTGTAACGAATGGGGAATATCAACATGTTAATATTAAACTTTTCCAGTTTTACCTAAGTTCTAAAATTACAGTCTATAATTATACATCTCCCTTTAGGCAATTAATACATGGAAAACATAGATATGTCAAACATATGTATGTGTATGACTAGCACATACCTGTATTGAGCCATTGGCCGCAATCATCTTGTTCTTCATGTCATCATTCCACAACCTTTTCTCAGTCAGATCATGCAGTAAATGGTGATTCACAACCTGAACAAATAGACACCAAAATTGCATTCTGTATTTTTAATATCCTATTATCCTGCCAGTGTTGGAAATAGCCTCAACACTGGACAAATGGTGGGTCTGAATGGAAATTCTTATTTCATACATTGATGTGTTAAATGATATGATAAATCATTAATAGTTCAAATTGTATTTTCTTCGGTCAGGTACAACTTACAATTCATGTTACCCAGATTATCAAATATTAATTGACATATACATGTCAACAAAAAACTGATTGTATTTTATTGCATTAATTCCACTATACTTCTGACTCCAAAATGTTCAAAAATTTATCAAAAAAATCATCCCTTACCTGGAATTCTCCAGAGAGCACCCTTCTTGTGTAAATGTTACTCGTGTATGCCTCAATTGCCTCGTTGTTTCCGAGGATCTGAGCTGTTGAAGCTGTTGGCATAGGAGCCAGTAGCAAGCTATTCCTCACACCATATTTCTTGATATTCTCCCTAAGCCCAGCCCAGTCATGTCTGTCTGTGTCTTTGACTCCCCACATGTCGTGTTGCAGGATCTAAAATGGAACATGTTAACTTTCAATATCTTTTGAGCCCAGTAGTTGATTAGGTTAACCCCCCTATCCACCCTATCTCTAGTGAATCCCAGTGTCTTTAATAACACCATTCCTCAGAAATGAAACCGCTGTAGGAAACACCTAGTACTTATTAATTTTTCTTTGTGGTTCCAAAGGTGTTCACCCGCTATGGCTCAGTGGCAGAGAGAGTCAAAGGTTACCAATATCGCTTGGCCCCGGGTTCGATTCCCCGTTCAGACAAATTTGTTTGTGCGTTATGTAATTCTGGGTGTTTGACTGAGTGGTTCACGACTCGTATAAAAGGCTGTGGTGTGTACCTGTATGTCTGTGTACCTGTGCACATAAAAGAACACAGGGCTCCTCCAAGGAGGGGTTTCTGGCTCTATCCTCGAGTGTAAGATACGTAAATACGGAATATACCAATGAGGTATTGCTCGCCAAATATGGCGGTAACCAAGATATAATAATAATAATAATATATACGGGTTTTATTGTACATAGTCTAATACATAGTCTTGAATTTTATCTAGTTACACTCAGTTTACAGGATTGTGCTGGACCTGTAGAGTTGGGCTCCTAAGGTTTAGCACTTCACACCCTTCTTTTCTCAAAAATTCCCAGCTGGGTGCAAACAGATTCTCAAACAGGTGCTCCAGTTAATTTGAAATTCCCAAGAAGGTGCAAGGTAACTTTCCAATTTTCAAAATAGTTGCAAGTTAGTTTTCCTATTCTAAAAAAAGTTAAAAGTAACTTTCTAGTTACAATGCTTGAGAAATACTTAGACATTTTTACTTACATTTTTGCTTACTGGTGATCCCTCATAAGTCTCATATGGTCCTTTTTCTTTGGCTAGCTCACAACTTGCAGTGAGTGCAGCGAAGTAAATAGTCTCAAAGATCTGTTTGTTAAGCTCTGTTGCTTGAGGACTATCAAACGGGTACCTAAATAAATATAATAAAAATCATCAAGAAATGATTAAGGGAATAATCTTAGAAAATATTTTCTACAATGCAAATTGTGTCTCTGATGACTTGCATTGACAGCCTTCTTGACTGCCACAATATAAATTTTCTCAACAAACTTCAGTGTATGTAAGTTTAGTATGTGAATGATTGTGATTTCCCCGCAAATGTCAGTGAATTCTAACTTCAGTGTAAAGCATATTATTTCACATTTGATATTCACTCAGTTGTATGCATTTTAGAATTGGTCGATACAAATCAGATCCAACTTGAGCATTCTTGGCATGAATATCACATAGAGACATATTAATTTTATGCCAATCATTGTTCAGCTCTATTTATTAATCTAATAACAAAGTAAACAAGGCATTAACATGCAAAATGTCACCACCTGCCATTTGATACAGATACCAAACACCAACCACTGAACACCATCCATAAAAAGGTTGGAGATTAAAACAATATGTCATTAAAAGTATACCTCATGAGAATGAAAGCATCTGCAAGACCTTGAACTCCAATTCCAATAGGTCTGTGTCGCATGTTAGACGTCTTGGCCTGAAACATCGAAACATTTTGACATTAATTTTAAGGAAATAACATGCATCAGTGTTATCATCCATCCAAGAGTTAAAGAAGGGAATACATCCAAAGGTCAAGTTTTGAAAGAACGAAGTCAATTTTGTTTGAGAGGGGGGTAAATGGCAAATTTCCATTTCATTTTTCCAGTTTTCAATATTTTGACACCATCCTTGATGCAACTGGATTTCAGCATTGTCTTATAGGGAAGAAATCAAGTCTTTGGTCCTGGACATGAATTACTACTTTTTCAGATTAGATACAAGAAAAAATTCAACTGTTCTTTGATATTTCTCAAATGACACGACACGACAAAGGACACGACTGGTACTCCAGAGGGTCATCTTTACATGGAGGTTCATCTTTACATGGAGGTTCATCTTTACATGGAGGTTCATCTTTATATGGAGGTTCATCTTTACATGGAGGTTCATCTTTACATGGAGGTTCATCTTTACATGGAGGTTCATCTTTACATGGAGGTTCATCTTTATATGGAGGTTCATCTTTACATGGAGGGTCATCTTTACATGGCGGGTCATCTTTACATGGATGTTCATCTTTACATGGAGGTTCATCTTTACACGGAGGTTCATTTTACATTGAGGTTCATCTATGAATCTTTGGGTGTTTCCTCCTCTTAAAAAACTCTTTAGAATGATTGATAAAATGAATACTTACCTCAGGCACAGGGTAATAGTTGATATCTATGATTTTATTGAGATTCCTTGTGATCACTTTTGTGACTTCTACTAGTTTCGCGAAATCATAGGTCTGGTCTGGTTTCACAAATCTGTTGAGAGCTATTGAGGCAAGGTTACACACCGCAACCTGTAAAAATTATTAATTGTTAATATTATTTTTTAATCAATAGGCTTATGTATAATAAATAGTAGAATTAAGCCATTTTCATTTTTATGATAGGTCCTGGTTCATTTTGATAACAATGATCCTAGAGATTTCATGTTATATGTTACATGTGTCAAATTGGAGAGGGAACTTCAGAAGATCGAATCATTTGGACATCTTCAAAAAAATCAACAGGGAACTGAGTTACATTTGCATTTCAATCATTTGAGAGAAAGGGTCATAGGAAGAAAATTGCCCTAACCTAGTCATAGATGAAATATAGGTACACCATAGGCATTGTTCATCAGAAAGTATAAATACGGGAAAAAGTGCTGCAATTTGGGGGTTTTATTAGAAGATTCAACATACCTCATCTGGACTACTGTATTCCACTATTTCTGTACAAAGATTACTGCATTTAATTGTTCCCAAGTTCTGTTGGTTAGATTTTCCATTACATGCGTCCTTATATAACATGTAGGGAGTTCCTGTTTCTGTCTGTGATTCTATGATAGCGTACCACAGTTTCTGGGCTTTGATGGTTTTGCGTCCCTTACCCTCCTTTTCATATCTGGAAATTTAGTTTTCATATTAAAATTCAGTTTCCAAAATGTAAACACTTGGACCATTTTCCTGCATGATTAAATATCATTATTTCCATATGCGAAAGCAAGTTTCACAGCAGGCATAAAAACCTGTTGAAAATCAATCTTTTATACCTGTTGATTATTGAAAAATTTGAATTCTGAAAAATAACATATTTTTAATATTTTTTACAGTTTTTGACATTTTACACAGAATTTCTCAAACCAAAAAATACTTGTCAGTTGTCACTTTTTTTTTTACTCACTGTGTATATTTTTCTTCAAACTCCTTGCCCCAGCAATCGGACAGTCCCTTGCACTCGTTAGGGCACATGAGGGTCCAGTCACCATTCTCCTCTACACGCTTCATGAACAAATCTGGAATCCAGAGGGCATAGAAGAGATCCCTAGCACGCTGCTCCTCCTTTCCGTGATTCTTTCTGGCATCCAAGAATTCAAAGATGTCATTATGCCATGGCTCGAGGTAGATAGCAAAGGCACCTGGTCTCTGAAAGTCACAAGGAATAGGATTTTATTACTGAGTGTTTTAAGGCCTAATGAAAAAAAAATAGTGCTCAATTCTACAATTTAGAAATAGTTGATAAACTGTCATCATTTTTACAATTGAAATATTGTTTTTAATCAAGAATAAGAGAACACTGATAGTATCATAGTATCTTGGAGGCTGTCACTGACATCTATTGTGGGTTTGATATGAGAAGTTCTGTTTAGATTTGAGAAAACATATTTTATTTACATACAAATTGAATATAAAAGGAAAAGATTTCAACAGCAGACAATAGCTTTTTTACAAAAAATTCAGTGAAAAAATGCTGCAATAAAATGCAAAATTTCACATTTTGGCTTGCAGAATTTTAATTTTTTCTTTTGCATTTTGTAGCGCAGAATTCTAGTAACTGTGAATTAACAACCATTTAAATGTTGAAATAAAATTAAAATTTCCAATAAATATGCCTGTTGTTTTTTCAAAGTGTCAGAAAGCTGAATGTCAATGAATGAACTGTAGTCTTCTTCTTAAAATGCTTTTATAGACTCATTTCAAATGAATGACTTACCTTATTACCACCTTGGTCCACATATCTAGCAGTGTTGTTGTATACACGCAACATTGGCAGCAGCCCATTGGATGTCCCATTGGTCTGTAAACAAACAAACATTGGATTAAAGAAATGATTTGGAATTATGAGCAATAATCTTGCTTAATTGGACATTTTACATAGAGTACATGTACTGGCTTAATTGGACATTTTACATATACCGTATTATCTCTATTAAACGCACAGTGCGCTTAGCAAATTCCCGTGGGGGAGAGGTTTCAAGCAGCTAAATCCTCAGGAATTCTAAAAAATTATGATGGTGGGCAATAATGAGTGAAAATTTACTTCTATACCTAAAATGGATCAAATATAGTAGATATGTGCGTTTATTAGAGAGAATATGCTATATGTTATGTTTTTACCTTGAATTGTGAGCTCCTAGACGACAAATTTAGTATATAAATACACTATTGTGTGTTATTTACACGAACACCTGAAGAAATTTCTTACGTTGCATGATGGGAAATATGCTATATGTTATGTTTTTACCTTGAATTGTGAGCTCCTAGACGACAAATTTAGTATATAAATACACTATTGTGTGTTATTTACACGAACACCTGAAGAAATTTCTTACGTTGCATGATGGGAAATTGTGACGTCATGAATCATGATGCATTATTTTAACGAACGGTGAAAATACTCTATTATCGCCCACAATGTTTTTTTTATTACAGCTTCGTCAGATCTCAATATTATCTGGACAGGACTTTCTAACCTGGGACAAAAAGTCGGGTGTGCGTTTATTAGAGAGTGTGCGTTTAATAGAGATAATACGGTAGTACATGTACTGGCTTAATTGGACATTTAACAAATAGTACATGTACTGGCTTAATTGGACATTTTACATATAGAACATGTACTGGCTTACATACTGATCAAGACATTTTTCACCTTAACATGGCTTACATTAATTTCATAAGCACAAACACTGATAAAAGCTGCAAATGAGATCTGATTTTATCAGCATCAAAACCACAAATCATCTGATATAGTCAGACTCAGTGGGTCAGCAAGAGTGACGGAGACTAAGGATGTATGTGGCCTGTTTGTATGTCAAGTAACTCACCCCAGCAATGTATGATCCCGTTGATCTAATACAGTGTACATTCAGGCCGATACCACCAGCACACTTTGAAATCAGGGCACATTTCTTCAGAGTATCATAGATTCCTTCAATACTGTCAGAATCCATTGTCAACAAGAAACAACTGAAACCAAAGATAAACAGATAAGTATTTAGATAAATATAAGTGTAAGTTCCTTTAAAATCAATTGCCGTGGTTTCTTATATTGCCCAAGATCTGAACATGTCTATTAAATGTGTATGCTCAGAAAATATCTTCTTCGGAGTTAAAATAGAAGTCCCTTGAATTTCTCAAGTTATAGTGCTGTCCCCAGCTCCGATTTCGGTGATCGGCTAGTAAAAAAGGTTTGAGGGTATCATTTTGTTCCAGACACTCTCTAGAGTAAATTATCCTAACTTGAGTAAAAATGTGTGGTAAGTAAATTCGCTATGGGCAGTTAAAGAGGCGCCATCTATTCATTTTAAAACAGGGGGTAGGGGTATAAAATAATTTTTAACACATCTTAATAGTAAAATGACATTGAAATACTAATAAAATCTTATCAAAAACATTATTTACAATCAGTATGAGTTTTTTTGTGTGAATTAGGGTGAAAATAAGGGCATATTTTGAAATTCACTACAGGGGCGCCACCTATTTTCATACTTCTTCCACGTGTAATAACTTATTTTAGATTCGTTAAGGTACGAAATGTACTGAAAAAATTCATTCTGAAGGACCTATATATGTTCATACCACATACTTAAAATTGGATCAATAGCTTTTGTACCTGGGGAGAAAAAAATTCTTGAAATTTAAAATTGTGGCATCATGCAGGATAGGGGTGACCATATCTCACATGATTAACTTCCAAAATATGGAGCATATGTATCTCAAATGTACTCAAAATGGTGCATGTACTCTTGCTTTGTCATAATATTACTAACAAGGCATTAACATGACAAAATGTCACCACCTAGTTGCTCACAATATTATGAGTTCAAACTTAAGTCAGATTTGAATTTCTGAGAACTTGTAAAGTCAAATTTGAACTTCTGAAAAGATGTAGATGATTTTGAAAAAAAAAAATTTGGTCAATTTGAAGCAAGTTGAAAACAGACCTTTTTGACCTTTTTTTGACCTTGAGAAGGTCACTAAAGGTCAAATGTCAAATCTAAAGTCAGATTTGAATTTCTGAGAACATGTAGATGATTTTGAAAAAAAAAATTAGTCAATTTGAAGCAAGTTGAAAAAAGACCTTTTTGACCTTTTTTGACCTTGAGAAGGTCATTGAAGGTCAAATGTCAAATCTTAAGTCATATTTGAATTTCTGAGAACATGTAGATGATTTTGAAAAAATTTTTAGTCAATTTGAAGCAAGATGAAAAAATACCTTTTTGACCTTTTTTGACATTGAGAAGGTCATTGAAGGTCAAATGTCAAATCTAAAGTCAGATTTGAATTTCTGAGAACATGTAGATGATTTTGAAAAAAAAATTTAGTCAATTTGAAGCAAGTTGAAAAAATACCTTTTTGACCTTTTTTGACTTTGAGAAGGTCATTGAAGGTCAAATGTCAAATTTTAAGTCAAATCTAAAGTCAGATTTGAATTTCTGAGAACACGTAAATGATTTTGAATTTTTTTTAGTCAATTTGAAGCAAGTTGAAAACAGACCTTTTTGACCTTTTTGACCTTGAGAAGGTCATTAAAGGTCAAATGTCAAATCTAAAGTCAGATTTGAATTTCTGAGAACATGTAGATGATTTTGAAAAAAAAATTAGTCAATTCGAAGCAAGTTGAAAAAAGACCTTTATGACCTTTTTTGACCTTGAGAAGGTCATTGAAGGTCAAATATCAAATCTAAAGTCATATTTGAATTTCTGAGAACATGTAGATGATTTTGAAAAAAAATTTAGTCAATTTGAAGCAAGATGAAAAAATACCTTTTTGACCTTTTTTGACATTGAGAAGGTCATTGAAGGTCAAATGTCAAATCTAAAGTCAGATTTGAATTTCTGAGAACATGTAGATGATTTTGAAAAAAAATTTAGTCAATTTGAAGCAAGTTGAAAAAAGACCTTTTTGACCTTTTTTGACTTTGAGAAGGTCATTGAAGGTCAAATGTCAAATCTTAAGTCAAATCTAAAGTCAGATTTGAATTTCTGAGAACACGTAGATGATTTTGAAATTTTTTTTTAGTCAATTTGAAGCACGTTGAAAACAGACCTTTTTGACCTTTTTTGACCTTGAGAAGGTCATTGAAGGTCAAATCTTAAGTCAGATTTGAATTTCTGAGAACACGTAGATGATTTTGAAAAAAAGATTTAGTCAATTTGAAGCAAGTTGGAAACAGACCTTTTTGACCTTTTTTGACATTGAGAAGGTCATTGAAGGTCAAATGTCAAATCTAACGTCAGATTTGAATTTCTGAGAACATGTAGATGATTTTGAAAAAAAAATTTAGTCAATTTGAAGCAAGTTGAAAAAAGACCTTTTTGACCTTTTTTGACTTTGAGAAGGTCATTGAAGGTCAAATGTCAAATCTTAAGTCAAATCTAAAGTCAGATTTGAATTTCTGAGAACACGTAGATGATTTTGAAAAAAAATTTTAGTCAATTTGAAGCAAGTTGAAAACAGACCTTTTTGACCTTTTTTGACCTTGAGAAGGTCATTGAAGGTCAAATCCTAAGTCAAATCTTAAGTCAGATTTGAATTTCTGAGAACACGTAGATGATTTTGAAAAAAAAATTTAGTCAATTTGAAGCAAGTTGAAAACAGACCTTTTTGACCTTTTTTGACCTTGAGAAGGTCATTGAAGGTCAAATGTCAAATCTAAAGTCAGATTTGAAGGTCAAATGTCAAATCTTAAGTCAGATTTGAATTTCTGAGAACATGTAGATGATTTTGAAAAAAAAATTAGTCAATGTGAAGCAAGTTGAAAAAAGACCTTTTTGACCTTGAGAAGGTCATTGAAGGTCAAATGTCAAATCTAAAGTCAGATTTGAACTTCTGAGAACATGTAGATGATTTAGAAAAAAATTGAAGTCAGTCTAAACAGTATTTGTTAAGTTATAGGAAGTTGTAAGAAATTGTTACAGACGCCAACCGCCGGACGCCGGACGCCAACCACCAACCGCCGGACGCCGTCGCAAAAAAACGGAGACCATAACAATATGTCACCACTTTTGGTGGTGACATAATAAGAAGTAGAAAAATGATTGTACAATTTTAAAAAATATTAATTCTCATTTTGGCTTCTGACGTCCCAGGGGTGACCATATCTCACCTTAATAACTTCCAAAATATGGAGCATATGTATCTCAATTGTGCTCAAAATGGTGTATGTACTCTTGCTATGTCATAATATTACTAATAAGAAGTAGAAAAATGATTGTACATTTTAAAAAATATTAATTCTCATTTTGGCTTCTGACGTTCCAGGGGTGACCATATCTCACCTTAATAACTTCCAAAATATTGAGCATTTGTATCTCAAATATACTCAAAATGGTGTATGTACTCTTGCTTTGTCATAATATTACTAATAAGAAGTAGAAAAATGATTGTACAATTTAAAAAATATTAATTCTCATTTTGGCTTCTGACGTTCCAGGGGTGACCATATCTCACCTTAATAACTTCCAAAATATGGAGCATATGTATCTGAAATGTGCTCAAAATGGTGTATATAGTCTTGCCTTGTCATAATATTACTTATAAGATGTAGAGAAATGATTGTACATTTTAAAAATATTAATCTTCATTTTAGCTTCCGACGTTCCAGGGATGACCACTGACCATATCTCACCTTAATAACTTCCAAAATATGTAACATATGTATCTCAAATGTACTCAAAATGGTGTATATAGTCGTGTCTTGTCATAATATTACTAATAAGATGTAGGAAAATGATTGCACATTTTTAAAAAATATTAATTCTCAATTTGGCTTCTGACGTCCCAGGTCTGACCATATCTCACCTTAATAACTTCCAAAATATGGAGCATATGTATCTCAAATGTACTCAAAATGGTGTATGTACTCTTGCTTTGTCATAATATTATACTAATAAGAAGATTATACATTCAAAAAATTTTGATTTTAGCTTCTGACATCCCTCAATAACTTCTAAAATTATGTAACATATACAACTCAAATATACCAAAAATGGGGCATATGGTCTTGCTTTGTCATAATATTATTCATGAGATGTAGAAAAAATTATTAGACCTTTTTTGAATTGAAATTTTCATTTTAGCATCCGAATCTGACATCCCAGGGGCAACTATATCTCACCTTGATTTAACTCTCACGATATGCAACATATGCATCTCAAATGCGTGCCCAAAATGGTATAAATATAGTCTTGTTTTGTCATATTTATTGAGATTCATGAAATCAGAAGTTCAGAATTTATGGATTGGACTGTCTCCCCTGCAGGCTTCAGCTACATATAGTCCAGAGACATTAAGATCTACTTTCAAATATTTGCATCTTCTTCCCAAACACTCCTTATATTACAGGAACAATGGACGATAAGTCTTTTGCATGCCTTGGATGCAACATCTTTTGAATACTGGTAGCCTATCAGTAGTGTGAGTAGCCTAGCCTCATTTACCAAAATTGGCCCCTTAACCCCAAATCTGACCCGAAATTTTGAAAATATCCTGAAAAATTAGGCCTAAAAGGCGCATTTATGCCCAAACATACACCAAACTGTCCCACTGCTAAATTACAAGGGCGATAAGTCGCTTCTAATCCTGATTGACATTCTCTAGTTTGCATGGTTTGTCATGTTGTGCTATATTGTTATTGCCCAATCTCAACAGTTGTATTCACTGTATGGCCTACCATGCCAAGAATAATGCAATTGTTCCAAAAGCTAAGCTCTTCTTTGGGACCCTAGAAGTGTGGGACATCACAATCATAGATTAATATTTCATTACAATCAATGTATGTTGTATGACAAACATGCAAACTAGTGAATGTTAATGTGGCTAGAAAGATTTATCATTACAAAGAGCTCCTTTTCCCGTATTTTACAAACTCAAAATCCCTTAATTCAGTGTATAATCCAAGGTGCATATATTGCAGGCCACAGGATAACATATTAACACCTTACATTAGCAGTTGCCATTACTTCATGAATGGAGTAAAGTACTCCCACTATTGACAGGCTAAAAGGATTCCTGTATGGATTACAAAAGATGTTGGATCCAAGGTATGCAAGGGAATAATCTCATCCATTGTACTTGTAAAGGGTGTTTGGGGAGCAGATGCAAATATTTGAAAGCAGATATTATTTGCCCTGAATTATATGTAGCTGTAGAGGAGACAGTCAAAATCCATTGATTCTGAACTGTTGATTTTATGATTCTCAATAAATATGACAAAACAAGACTATATTTATACCATTTTGAGCACACATTTGAGATGCATATGTTGCATATCGTGAGAGTTATCAAGGTGAGATAGCCCCTGGGACACCAGAGGCTAAAATTAAAATTTATAAAAAAAATGCTACATTTTTCTACATTTCATTAGTAATATGAAAAAGACAGGATGAGGATTATATGTTACATACAGTATCTTAGAAGTTATTATTATTATTATATGGTGCGATATGATTACCCAGGAACGTAAGAAGCTAAAATTAAAATTTTTGAAATGTATAATCATTTTCTACTTCTTATTAGTAATATTATGATAAAAAAGCAAGAGTACATACACCTTTTTGAGTACATTTGAGATACATATGCTCCATATTTTGGAAGTTATTAAGGTGAGATATGGTCACCCCTGGGACGTCAGAAGCCAAAATGAGAATCAATATTTTCTAAAATGTACAATCATTTTTCTACTTCTTATTAGTAATATTATGACAAATCAAGAGTACATACACCATTTTGAGTACATTTGAGATACATAAGCTCCATATTTTGGAAGTTATTAAGGTGAGATATGGTCACCCCTGGGACGTCAGAAGCCAAAATGAGAATCAATATTTTTTAAAATGTACAATCATTTTTCTACTTCTTATTAGTAATATTATGACAAAGCAAGAGTACATACACCATTTTGAGTACATTTGAGATACATATGCTCCATATTTTGGAAGTTATTAAGGTGAGATATGGTCACCCCTGGGACGTCAGAAGCCAAAATGAGAATTAATATTTTTTAAAATGTACAATCATTTTTCTACTTCTTATTAGTAATATTATGACAAAGCAAGAGTACATACACCATTTTGAGTACATTTGAGATACATATGCTCCATATTTTGGAAGTTAATCATGTGAGATATGGTCACCCCTATCCTGCATGATGCCAAAATTTTAAATTTCAATAATTTTTTTCTCCGCCAGTACATAAGCAATTGATCCAATTTTAAGTATGTGGTATGAACATATATAGGTCCTTCAGAATGAATTTTTTCAGTACATTTCGTACCTTAACGAATCTAAAATAAGTTATTACACGTGGTAGAAGTATGAAAATAGGTGGCGCCCCTGTAGTGAATTTCAAAATATGCCCTTATTTTCACCCTAATTCACACAAAAAAATTCATACTGATTGTAAATAATGTTTTTGATAAGATTTTATTAGTATTTCAATGTCATTTTACTATTAAGATGTGTTAAAAATTATTTTATACCCCTACCCCCCGTTTTAAAATGAATAGATGGCGCCTCTTTAACTGCCCATAGCGAATTTACTTAGCACACATTTTTACTCAAGTTAGGATAATTTACTCTAGAGAGTGTCTGGAACAAAATGATACCCTCAAACCTTTTTTACTAGCCGATCACCGAAATCGGAGCTGGGGACAGCACTATTAGGAAAATAACTATAAGGAAGATGCTAAATAGAAGGGCATTTACCTTGAGAGTTGTGGTTTGCACGTGCCAGCATTGAACAGTGTTGGTGAAGCATGGGTGAAAGGAAGATGATAAATAGAAGGGCATTTACCTTGAGAGTTGTGGTTTACATGTGCCAGCATTGAACAATGTTGGTGAAGCATGGGTGAACCATTTCTCAGAGAGGAGGTTGTACGTCTCAATAGCGCCATCTATATCCTCGTGGTGAATCCCTACGGAGACTCTCATCAACATGTGTTGTGGTCGCTCTGCAACCTTTCCATCGATCTTCAATAGGTACGCCCTCTCTAGTGTCTGAAAATATCAGTTATTTTTCACATTCATGTAATTTATAAAATTCGTTTAAGCTAGACTTTGATATTATTTTGAAAATATTAATCTTCCTTCCTACCTCCATTCAGTATAACATATGCATAAACTATTTTCCATTAAAAAATTCAAATCGACTGACTGAATAAATATTTGAATTAATTCATGAAAAATGTTTTCTGCTCTGGTGAAAAATAGCTTATTTAACCAAGAGGATTTTTACAAATATTTTATACATAATACAATTACTTTCAAATGAAACTGAACATTGTAGTATTTTTTAATTTTTTTCCAGTGTCTTATATACTTCACCTACTTTTTTTGTACCTCGCTTATTTTTCTCTTCATGTATTAAAATCAATAATAAACAATTTTAATTTGCTTACCTTGAAACCAAAGTAATTGTAGTTGTAGTCTCTGTCATAGATGATGGCAGAGTTGAGACGATCACCATTAGCGGTAATGATATCATGAATATCCTTTGAAATCATAGGTGAGTGATTCCCTGTCTTTGGATTAATCCAATTGAACAAGTCATCCATCACATCTAAAAAATATATCATTGTTAAAAATATAAATGTTATACTTGTTAAAGAGTGCAAAAACTATACAGTCAAAAAGGTTAACTCTAGAAATATGCAAATATTTTTTGAGGCTTTCATTTTAAAATCCATACATTAAAACTTTTTTGGGATACTTTAGGAACAGAATTAGAGACTGCCAGCTGAATTTCCACTGCAAAAATTATGCAAAAAAATAAAATCATTTGAAGCAAGCTGTGTAGAGTTGCCTTATAAGAAATATGTGCTTACGAGTGAAAGTTTTCTTGGTCTCTTTGTGGAGATTGGACACAGCAATTCTGGCAGCAAGCTGAGCATAGTCAGGGTGCTTGGTTGTCATGGTAGCAGCTGTCTCAGCGGCCAGGTTGTCAAGCTCTACAGTGGTGACACCTGGGTAAAGCCCATTTATCACCTTCATTGTAATCTCCGTCTAAAACAGAAGTCACAAAATGCAACTTGGTTTCGTATTTTCCATTGGATTTCTCAAATGGGTGCAACAATTTTAGCGAAGAAATATCAAAAATAAATTCCAAGATCACCTGCGAATACATATATAGTGAATTAAACATTCCATTTTACAACATGGAACATATAGACAGATTTCACAGGTTAAAAGATATACATACCGCATCCACAAAATCACTATTCAGCCCATAGCAAAGTTTCTGAATTCGTGATGTGATCTTATCAAACATCACCTTCTCTTGACGGCCATCTGGAAGCAACAAAGAAATGACACTGTATGAAAAGAATGTGAGATAGATGGGTTCCATTGTTTTGTGCAGTAGTGCCATATAAAAGTATGTGCATTTCATGACAGGTTACAAATTCTACTTTTTACCATTTTCCTTTTCCTAAGCTTAGAACCTTAATGCTATTTTTCTCCAGATTTTTCAGAAAGTGAGCCCCAACCAACCCTGATATTTAGAAAATAATTTTTCTCCTGATTTGCAGAGGCGTAGCTAGCGCATTTTGCGAGTGTACGCCCGTATGATTTCCCGGTTTTTATCAAAATTAACAAAACGATGGTTCCATAAAATAGGAAGATCCCGGGTGTTCAGAAGATAGGGGACACACTAAACACTCTTAATTCAATGAAGGAAATATGTATTGTTTGATCATTTTGACATAGCTTTTTAAAGGGATTGAATTAACTGTATTAACAGAAAATATTCGGGAAACAAAATAGACAGATTCTATATACTAGTAACTATTTTTTAGGCTACCTAAAACTGTATGTATGAGGCTCATTGTTTTAAGCTTTTGTGGTCATTCTCCATGAAATATTATTATTTTTTCTGTGTTTGTTTTTATCTAGCTCACAAGATTATTAACAATAAAAGAACAGTTACACGACCGTCTCAACTCCATTTCGGATCTTAACAATCTGTACGTGATTCTATAGAATAAATTCTATCTTTCTGTTTTTTGCATTTGCGAACATGTCAATAACAGTATCAATGTTTATATCCTGTTCCCTATGGATATGTATCATGGCCAAGGAAGAAAGTCTTTCCTCATTCATTGTGGAACGCAAGTATCTCTAATTATCAGTAGCTAACTGATTCAAAACAAAGAAAATGAAATAATCGAGAACTTTTTTATTTATTAACACGAGTCTTCATAGATCTCCTATCGATTTCTATCTCTTGGTAAAATATTTATTTTTCATCACAATTAATCAGGTAAATTTTATTTTTCCTAAAAAATTGAGAGTACGCCTGGGCGTACTTGGCGTACACGTAGCTACGCCACTGATTTGAACAGTTGATTTTAGTTTTTGTAACCAGATTTTTCTAGAAATGCTGATTTTCTCCAGAAAATGAACACTGATTTTTAGAAAAATATCCGATTTTTGGAGACCCTATCTGTTGCAAGACTTATGGCTGCCACAACCGTCACCAAGTGTTTTTAAGTTGTGCAAGGATCCTGCCATGACCGTGGTAGTGTTATCGTGAAAGCCTGGTATAACCGAGGTAATGTTAAAGCACGATATGACCGAGACAATGACATTTAGAAGCATGAGAATACAGTAATGAACAGTCATATATCAATGCTTCACTCACGACTCATCCATATCTAAAAGTCGCCCCCTCGGCAAATCCTTCTGACACCTGTGCACAAGGTCATGACAGGATCCTTGCGAAACTTAAAAACACCTAATAAAACTGTGCCCGGGGGGTTCACTATATATAAACCTTGACGGGGATCCTCGGCGCATGTGGGGTACCTTTTTCAACGTTTGGTATGGCAATGGACCCATATTTTAGGATTTGGTATGGGAATGCCCGGAAATTTCTGACTTCTGAGGTATGGCAATGTTCGGACTTTTGCTCTTCTGGTATGAGAATGGTCGTTGTAGATACGTTACCTAACATTCGTGGTATGGCATTGGTCCAGTAGTTGCAAATTTGAAGTTGTTTTGGATCGTTTCCAGAAGTAACTTCTTTTCCAGGGCCTTCTTCACTTTTGAATTTTATATGGTATGGCATTGGTCCTACATTTTGACATTTGGTATGGCATTGGTCCCATAATTGGGTATTTGGTATGGCATTGGTCCTATATTTGGACATTTGATATGGCATTGGTCCTATATTTGGACATTTGGTATGGCCTTTGGGCGTTATTTTGGTTGGTATGGAAACATATTGAAATTTGACAGATTGGTATGGGAACATATTGATATTTGAGGCTTCAGCCTAGGACCCCTGTCGAGTTTTATATACAGTGAACCCCCAGGAAAACGGTGACGGTTGTGCCAGGCATAAGTCTTGCAATAGATAGCATGTGGATTTTTGTTTTTGTAACCTGCACTCATTGTGAGGAGTCTTGAGAACTCAGTATTGCTGAACAAAGAAAGTGAATTTGAAATATAACTAAAAAAAAAGCTTGGTTCAATTTTTTTGTCTATAAGACGATTCATTTACTTATGCAAATGTTTCGAATTTTGAGAGACCTCAGTTGAAAGAGTATCCAAAAAATAAAGATCAAATCAACAATGACAATGTCGGCGAAATGTTCAAAACTTTTTTGTCCAACTTCACCTTCAGTTTTCTGTCACAACTAGGCATGGATTTTATTAAAAATTAAAATTTACATTCACTTAATATAACTGAACAATTTCTTACCTCTTTTATTAACAAACATCTTCGCAGACTGCTAGATTTTAGCGATTATCGAAAAAAGATTTCAATGGAAATGTCAACTAAACTCTCAAACTCCCGCACTCTTTATTGCGCCAAATAAATTTACCGCCAAAATCCTGCCATCTAGTGGGAATTTCTAAAACTTTTTTCGGAAGTGGTTTGTACGGAACGAAAACAATATCACAGGATTTACATTCCCGGGGATACTGGACGTAATTTTGTAGAATCAATGCACAGCAGGGGCGGATCTGGGAACAAACAAGGGGGCTCCTAAAACGCAAAAGTGGGCCCAAATTTTGAAATTTTGATGCCCATTTTCTTCAACATGTGACCTGAAATTAAAAAATAAGGCCTTAAAAGGCTTTAGATTGACCTTGAATACGTTGATGTAAGTTGTATTATTAACTGTATTCTGGAGGACTGGAAGAAAATCCTAGGTATTCCTCATGTTGAACATATATTTAACTTTGAATACCCTTACGATGCTTCCACGCACGATCACATGAAATCCAAATGTTCATTGTCTCTACACAAGAGCGCTGAATAAAAGAAAAATAGGACCCACGGTCCTGTGCTCACACAGTTTGGAACCTTCAGAGGAATGTATATCCTGACTTTCAAACAAATATGTTGATTTGGATTTGTAGTCTCGAACTTTGAGAAACTTAGATATAGACAGGTTCCAATTCTAATAATTCAAGTTTCTGAGGCATTTTTTAGAAAAAGCAACAGACCTATTTTTACTCAATCAGTTTTTCATGCTGATAAAGATATTAAAAGATGACAGCTCAACGGGGTGGTCACGACACTGAATTTTGGCATGTTTACCCCCCTTGGAAAATATTCTAGGGGGTACTATGAAACTAGTTCATAACTCAAAGGATATATGAGCTATTGTTCTGAGTTGTACACCATACATTGCTAGTACAAATATGAATACTATCCTAAAGTTATAGGTTGATACCCTTATTGGTCTCAGAAAAAATACAATAAACAGGAAAAAGATACGCAATTTTTGTCTTGCCAATTTTATATTTGTAGCTTCAAGCAAAATATGACAGCTTTAACAGCTCATAGTAGTATTCTTAAAACATTTCCAGGCTATATGGTGTATTGTAATACATCTATTTTAGTTATGAAGTACTATTTTGTAATTTTAATATGACTTTGTAGTGCCCTACCCCTGGAAAATTGAAGAAAATGGATGTGGTAGAATTTAATCATTTTGCAGCATTAAGTTAGAAACATGTATTGATAGACACCAAATCAATAAATTCATACCATCATCAAATGTTAGGTGACATTCTAATTCATTTATTACTAGAATATAGGACTTAAGATATTTTATATGTAAGTTTTCAATTTAGTACATGTATCATAATGAAATCTAGTGTAATCACATACTAGAGAGGACATTGACATAAAGTCTAAACATTATAATCATCAATTGATCTCATTTGAGCAACTAGACTATGGTGGTCATCATGCACAAGTAATGTACTACAGTGCCCCATGTACTAGGGCACGAGTCATTTGAGCCATATATACCTCCTGGTATATACCTTTACAACCCATTCAGGTCATTTACAATGTGCAAAACATGGCAAAAGTTCTGTAAAACTGTTAGTTCTCATCATCTGACCATATAGCAGAGTCCTCATTAAGCCATGATGCATCACAGCCAGATGTTAGAAAAGTAGCTAAGAATCTTTTTATTAACCAAAGATGACTTTCCCATCGATGTTGCATCACACTGTACTGTCAACTGTATATGTTGCTTTCAATTTTGTTTACTCTACATAGATCTGATTCTGCATTTAAATACCAAGACTTCAGTTTACTTCAACTGTCATGACTAAAGCATTTGATAGTATTTACATAATAATGTTATAAAGGAGTATGTAGGTTATCGCAAACAACTTCAGACAATGGTCCTTTTTCCATATAGCTTTGAAATCTCGTTAAGGTATTGTTTTTAATGAGATTTTAGGAGATCTACATTTTTAACCATTAAAAACTAATGTTTTCTTCCATCTGATGGCATATTTGAATTCTGTGAGTAATTCTCTATCAAAACAACTTTGATTTGCACTGTAAGTTACCATTATTCAAATTCTAATGATTTACTGGTTGTCTAAAAAAGGTTGGGCTAAATCCCCATTGACACAATGCTGAAAAATCTTAAAAAGTTCATTTACTCTTCCAAGGATCACAATTTTAATGTGAAATCACAATCCACATGTCAATAAGATCATAAAGTTACATTCCAATGATGTTTTAAGTTGATCCATATGGAATTACTTCTTAAATCAAGAAATTTAGTGACTCTGGCAATACATGTATTCTAGCCCTACTCAAGCTCTACCAATACCCATGATGCCATCTACTTTTAATTTATATGGAAAAAGGTCAATTCTAACTTGAATTATGAATATTTTCTGACCATGAACATAGGTTTATCTTTTAGATCTATTCATTATCTTAAAGAAAAGTAAATATAATGATTAATCAGACCTAAGTGATATTAAAGGGAATGGCCCAATCAACATACTTTTAACTAAAAATGATGACCTAGTTTTTACCAAAGATGCAACCTTTAATTATATTGTTGAATGCATAATTAGAATATGCTTTGAGACATGTTCTATTTCCTAAGAGGAAAAAAGGACTGCTCCAGGGACTTTAAAGACACTGAATTTGGATGACCAAAATATACTGAAACCAATGGATAGCTAAATTTTTTCAAAGGGGAAATAACATGGGGAACACTAATCTTAGGGGAATTCAGTTTTCGTTTCAAGAGCTATTTGATATATTAAAATAAAGAATAGTAATGCATCAAACATTGTTAAAATGATTGCATTTTTGGTGAAAATGAGGTCAACAACTTTGAAAAAATATATTGATGGGTTGATTGCTAGTGAAATATCTCCGAGTCCGATTGACTTTATTATCCCTGTATACCTGTCTTCATGGTCAGGAAATAGTCATAATCAAAGATATAACTGTCTGAAATTGTTTGTGATAACTTACCTGAACATTTCCAGGTCAAATCAGGAGTGACACAATTTATTTCCACCAAATTTTTGACATGTCTTCAAATATACGATAGTATTTTCTTCATAAGATAGAGTGTCACTTGTGAAATTTATTGATTGACCTGAGATCGTATCATATCTTTATGACATAGAAGCGAAATAGCCATATTGAACTTTAATGAATGTTGTTTGCCACTTTTCGACAATTTCGGCAAAAGGGGTTTGGGGGAGAGGTACAATTAAGTTAAAAAATTCACCTGATTCAGACTATCCTTAAATGAGCACTGATTCACCTGAGAGCATAACTTTTTCAAAACATGTTAGTGTTATTTTTGGACCACTCACATTAATGTTTCATCTAATTTTCCCTCAGAGTTTCCTCATCATTGTCTTAGGCCATATTTATTGAGATATATGAATGTTCATTATTAAAATCTTGCCTTCCTTTGCAGTTGGAGAAGACTCGGCATTAGGTGTTATAAGTCCCAGACCACGATAAATAAAAAATAACAACACAATGACATAGAACTGATAAACGTTTTCTCTTGTGCGTGTCAGCCATGGTCTACTAAATTAATTGCTATTCAGTGGGAAGAAACTCATTTTTCAGTTTCCATTTTAATTTCCTGACAAATAGAGCGATCATCCCAGCATTTTTTCTATCTATGTGCCTTAGCAATTTCTGTTTTAGAGAACAATAAAACAATAGAAAGGATTACTTTACCATAATTCTAATCATCCCACATTGTAGACATATTTAGAATAAAAATATGAAGAGAATGACAAAACCTCTTAAAACACATTTCTTAGGAAACAAATAGTGTGGTATTCTTGTTACTATGGCAACAGAGTTTTTTCTTTTTGTCATTTTTGTCATGCAGATTACGTATCATACCAGGACCAAATCCTGAAAATTTGAATTCAGTATCTTCATTAGTATCTTAGATATATAGGTTTCTTATAGTATCCCCTGCAGATTTCATCGGAGTATAGGAAAATGCTCTGAAGAGGGATGCCCAAGGATGCCACTTAACAGTTTTGGTATTTTTTGAGGTCCCAACCCTCTATTCATGGGAATAGTTAACCATTGTAAAGCTACTCATGGTTAACTGACAGAATTGATTGTATCTTCAACTAAGAAGTCAATAAAATGTTAAAACCAGAAGAAAACCACACCAACTTTCTTCTATTTACCAGGGGTAGGGCATTATAAAGTCATATTAAAATTACAAAATAGTACTTCATCACTATAATAGATGTATTACAATATCAAACATAGCTTGGGAATGTTGTTAGAATACTACTTTGAGCTGTTAAAGTTATCATATTTTGCTCGAAGCTACAAATATAAAATAAGAAAGAAAAAATGACAAAAATTGCATATTTTTTTCTAATTAATTGTATTTTTCAGAAACCAACAAAGATATCAACCTATAACTTTAGGATAGTATTCATCTCTGTACTAACAATGTATGCTGTAGAACTCAGAACAATAGTTCATATATCCTTTGAGTTATGAACTAATATTATAGTACCCCCTAAGATAATTTCCTAGGGGGGTAAAAACGCTAAAATGCAGTGTCGTGACCACCCCGTTGAGCTGTCATCTTTTAATATCTTTATCAGCATGAAAAACTGATCCAGAAAAAATAGGTCTGTTGCTTTTTCTAAAAAATGCCTCAAAAAGTCTTTCCCTTGAGATATTCTGAAATTGGAACCTGTCTAATAGCACAGTTGAGATATTTGACGTCAAAAAACAGTAAAAATAAGTTATTTTTCAACTTGCTTCAATTTGAAAATCATCTACTAAAAGTTATTTGAAAGTTCTACTTCAACAAAGTGTCTAGTATTTACAGAAAATTTGACTTTTTGACGTCAAAATCCGCAATTTCTCGGAAACCGGGCGAACTTGGAAAATGGCGATGATAGGTCAAATAGGCATTATGGATATGCATAAAATGAATGTGGATATGACTCAATCCGAATAGCAGTTTTAATTTGTGCGGCCAATGCTGACGGACGGACGGACCAACGGACGGACGGACGCCTGGTCGATCCCATAGGCTCACTGTGTGAGCCAAAAACTATTGAATTAAATGAATAAAAGAAAAAGTCAAATAATAATTGTATATTTTATATAAATCAATCACTTTTGAAACAATGGCACTTGGTTGATCTACTGCAGCGTTTTTCATTTTCATTTATTCGATTTTTTAATGGGTTTGACACAACAACAACTAGATAAGATACCTAACTTGTTTTTGGCCATATAATTGTTTCAACTGGAAACCTTATTTTTAAATACTTTTGAATTTGGAGGTCATCTTAGGAATTCCCTCTTGAACCATGGACTTCTAATCATTTGAAGTCAATGCTTGAACATAGATTGCATTTTGAATATATTACCAGGAATATTACTGTAACAGCTTCTTCACTGGAATCAGTACACACTAGTACACAATCAATACACCTCTTGTTTAGTTTTGTACGCATTTGCACCCGATTTATTGCATATTTTTTAATAAAATTAGTCTTGTTATGTTGTCAGAATTTGTCAGAATTGAATCCAAAATATATATTTGTGGGAGTGAATTTTGAAATCCATTCGGTAATTAACCCTGAAAAATGTTCTCATCCAAAAGATTTTCGACCGGGATTTTTAATTTTCCAATGCATTCGTTTTTGAATGTTGGATTTTTAACAATTATAACTTTACCTCCCCCATCATACATAGTTTTCCACTTACAACAATATATAGAGGTACCACCATATGATATTATTGATTCATTATATAATTCCATATTATTGGACGCAGACTTATTGTAATCATTGTCAATGAATTTCGGGGCTCCTGCTTGGTGAACTGCAAGGTTAGTGGCAGTAATGTCGAATGTTGCAATGTCCGCTTTGTTACTAAACATCAGTAGCCAGTTGTCAAAAGCAGGAACGCTGACAACAAAATCGGGCATGGCATCCCAGGGGAAGCTGGTTTTACTTGTGATGAAGTAATCCTGTGCATTCGATAGACCGAGTTTGGTACCTTGGCCGCGTCGGGTGATTTCCTCATCCAATCCGGATATGATTTCGATAGTATCACCACTTGTTGAATAGAACTTTGCCTCGCGCCTTCCCCCAAATACTATAAACCTCCTGATGTTGTGAGCTTTCGTGAATCTCTTAATTTCCTTTAGAGAAGTGATGAGTTTTTTAATATGAAATAATATATCGCCGTTGGAGTACATGTAGAGGTCTGTGTTGAATCTTCTTTGGGACTCGATGAACATTTGTCTCAGGACGGGTCTACCAGCTGCAGTCATATGAGGTTCCAGCTTGACAACGTTCCAGTCCGATTTATTCCCATTTGAAACTGTAAACCAACATTTTCCATTTCTTCGTAAATAGAAGCCATCACTTGCATAGATAACTCGTTCGGTCAAATATTTTGGAAACCTCTCATAGTTACAAAGTGTGTTATTCTGAATCCGGTAACGTTGGTGTTCCCTTTCGGAAAATGTTGTGAAAATCGTTAAAAACTTTGGATTTAAATCATTACATTTACATTCAATCTGTATATGTTCAGAACTTTCCAATTTGTGACCAACTTTAATCAGCGGCATGTAAAACGTTAAAAACATCCAAATAAAAATAATTTGAAATAATATAAACATAAGTACGACTGTTATCCTAAACTTGGAAAGCATTGCATTCGCATCTCCGCAGCAGTTATCCTCGAAATTCTAAGGATTGATTTTTTCAGTATTCTTTTGATCTGTCCTTTCATTTTTTTACTCAACTATAACTTGGTTTTAAAATATGTTTACTATTCGTGTGTATTGTGAAAAGTATAGCTTTGCAAATAGTAACATAGTATTTAACAACCCCAAATGACAAGCAATTGTTTGTTTGTGGATTCAATCGACAATGATTCATGAAAAGTATTTTAAAATAAACCAATCGACAACCAAAGAAAGTCAGTGTAGATCAAAATATCGTGAACGCTTTTCGACAAAATAAAAAGAAAGAAATGTCAGTATTAATCGATTGACTTGCCAATGGTTTGTGGGGGTGCAACCCATCCCCAGTGTGGGGGGATCGGGAGGGGCTCACTTCGCTAGCAGTGATGCAATTACAACTGCTGGCTCCGCCCAATGACTTGTGTACAAAAAGTTTGAACTGTGTAACTGTTCCTGCTTCTCTATGATGGATGCAGTGAAAACCACAAGGAAAGGTTTATTTATAGATGTCGATATTGTGTCACTAAAGATTTTCTTGAAGGATTGTTGCTTCAGGGAAGGGGATCTTATGGTTCACTGGCGGATCCCGGGAGCACGCCCCCCTCCCCCGGTGGTTCACTCTAAATAATTTGGGTAGGTCCCCGACCCCTCCCTTTTTGGGCCCAGAAAAAATGTTGTGCCCAAAAATTGTGCAGGGCCTTAAAATGGGCCTCTTTAAGGCCAAATTATCAAAAATGGGCCTTAATTTTCAAAATTTGGGTCCAATTATTTTTGGTTTTAGGGGCCCAATATTTTATAGGGGCGGAAAATAGTTGTGACCATGGGCTCTATCAGATGGTAGAGCCCATGTTGTGACTCAAAATTTGCCCACTCCCACGGTGACACCTTGTTAGCTTCTGAATCCGCCAGTGTGGCTCCCCTGTGCTCCATATCCGCCACTGACCCCCTGCCCAGCCCCTGATTACCAAATCCTGTTGGTTCTCATTTTTCAGTTCTAATGTAATATAATGGGGGTGCCCCCTATAATGTAATGTCATATTGGGAATGTCGCGTCCTCGAATAGATGGCAGGATCACTTTGGCGGGAACGTTGTAAAAGTATTTGGGGCTGGTCATGAATATTTAGAACACATTCTAGATTCTAAAATGTGATTATTTCAATGTTTTTGATCATCTTGCCATTATTTTGAGAACATTTGGCCGAGGTATTTAATTTTAACATATTTCGTATTGTCTAATTGCTTTCAGTCATAAAGATAATTGAATTATTATGAAAATATTTGGAATGTGTCAGAAGAAATTTGTCTGGGAAAAATAAAATTTTCGTTGTATGTAAGGTTGCATTCAGGAGAGGGGCCCAGAGACGTCAAAGTATACATTGAACAGGTAATTTAGTTGTAAGTAATTAAATTGAAATTAATTTCATTGACATAGGATTTTGGAATCAGGTAGAACTCATAAACCTTATCCCGTTCCCGGACTATGGTCCTGTGAACATCTCAATCTTTTGCCTGTGCGATTACAACATGGGAGAATTTTTTACTCATCTTACACTTCAGATACCTACTTCAATAGATTCCTTGGTAATTTAGCATTCTTTTCGTGTAGTTGAATTCACAATTGTCTGGGTTTATCGGCAGAACGAAGACATTTTCGTTTTTGATCGCAATATTTGCGTGTAACATTTAACTTATTTCAACCGTCAAATTCCTCCATATTGGTACTTCCGGGCTACATCCGGGACAGCCAAACGGGGGATTCCCCTTTTAAATCCAACCGCCATTTTGAAAAGTGATGGAATCTCTCTCGATGAAAAAGAGAAAATGTTCCCGTTCTGCCGATATACCCAGACAATCGGCGGTTCCAATATATTAGAAGTTACATCTTGAGTTCTATAATGCATTGAGGTAGGTATCTTAAGTGTAAGGGGCGTAGATAATTCTCCCAAGTTGTAATCGTACAGGCAAATGAATGCGCTCAGTGCAGGACTATAGTCCGGGAACGGGATAACATAAACCGGTCTTCCTTGCAACTGGAAAAAGTTTACTACTTTTTTCAAGGCCTGACTTCGTCGCTAACATGCTAAATATAAGAGTTAGCTGACGTTTGGGAGTCTGACTTACCTTCTAAAGGTTAGAACCCGAATCTTAATGAAACCATATCAGTTCCGTCAACCATGGAGCATTTGCCACAACATCCAAGAGGTAAATCATGGATCGAGAAAATGAATGATTTCCTTGTAAGTTCCGGAAGTTTCAATACGAAAAATTACCGAACATATGTGAAAACCGAATATTTGTTCGTTGTTTTCACGATTTACAGGTTCGTTTGTTCTTCAATGTTTTGGTCTAAATTATAAAGCATCACCAACAGGTCTTACTCTATTAAGCGACTAATACAGCAGACGGCTCATATTTCTACGTAGCATTTCATTCAGACCAATAGTGGGAGTGTAGATCACGCAATTTCGTTCGTTGCGTACTTCACTTGAAATGGGTAATTTTAAATATTGACTACTTCACTTAGCTTGGCGGATGTAGAACATTGCTTAATATTCTTTTAATTTTCACACCAGACATGCTTGGTTGACACGTCAACAAAGTAAAGTTCAAGGGTCAATGCGTTATTTTGTGATAACTACAACGCCTTCCCGGAAGTCAACATTGATGAAAAATGAAAAAGTCGGAAAAGCATTTACGCTAATTTCTATCAAATGCTATGTTTATGCATCATCATCGACGCAACAAAGGTGATATGGTTTCATTAAGATTCGGGTTCTAACCTTTAGAAGGTAAGTCAGACTCCCAAACGTCAGCTAACTCTTATATTTAGCATGTTAGCGACGCAGTCAGGCCTTGAAAAAAGTAGTACTTCAGTGCGAAAGCTATGTAGATTTTGATACAATAGCTTTCCCACGGCGCACTTGGACAGCTTAGTAATAGCGACCTTTAAAATATGAATAAAGATTTCAGCGCCTTACTTTTGGTCTCTAACTGTGTCTTACATCAGTATCATCAATCAGTGCAAGTATTGGAGCGCTGAAATACTTCTTTTTCGATCAACACTTGTAAATTGTTCATCGAGTGAATGTTTTTGCGACCCATTTCCAATATGGCGGTTTGCTAGGAGCGAGATACGCAATTGAGAATGATTAGGTTCGTAGTAGGCAGCTGATCGACTTAATTTGTGTTAAAAGGTCACTATTATTCAGCTGTCCATTTCCCCGTTTGAGAGCCATAAGTTTCAAAATCTAACATGGCTCTCGAAGTGAGTAAAAAAAAGTCTGATGGGGGATTCGTTCCGGAGGGATTCTTTCGAAGCTACTGAACCCAGGGGTTCACTCTAAATAATTTGGGTAAGTATGCAGAATGGGCAATTTTGGCTTTGGTTATAAAACATGAAACTGGTAAATTTGAGAGGAAAATATGAAAAAATTGTCTCAGAAAGTATCTTTTTATGTCAAAATGGTATAAATTGATTAAACCAGTTGCTTAGGCCAGGGATAAATCACTGGAAAAGTATAATTTTCAGGCAGTCTAATGATATTTAGTCCCAGCAAATTCCAGAGGAATTTGACATGGAGAAATCTATGAAGCTGAGAGGGATAAAATTGACTTTTATAAGTCTGAGAGGAATTAAACACCTGATAAGCTGAAGCCAGTTCACTCCCCATGAGATGTACTTTTGGAATTTATATATGATGGAGGTTATTATCCCAACGAACTAAGTTCGGTAGGGATGTAGTGAAGCCGTCCGTCAGTTCATCCATCCGTCCGGAAGATAACTCAAATACTAGTGGATGGATTTGCTTCAAAATTGGTGGAAAGATGTACATAAGTGAATAGTTTTACGCAAAAATGGCAAGATGGCTGCCGCTTTAGAAATGGCGGGAATATTTGGTGAAAATCTAAGTTTTTTCATTTTAAACCAAAGAAATGAATATTATTGTTTGAAATCTTGTTAGTATATTCACAACATCTGTTTTTGTAACATATATTCCGAGTTTTTCAGCCTGACCCCCAGGGGTTGGGAAAACAGGAGTTTGCATTAAGTCTGAGATCTTTCTTAAGTATAGCTTTCTTTATACGCAAATTGAAGCCTATTAAGAGTAGATTGCAAATGTTGTATAGTTTTTCTAATTTTGGACTTCTAAAATTCAATATGACCGCCTTATGTTAGAATTTCGCAATAATTTTCTGATCTTTTTAAAGTATGGCTCAAATTGAAGGAAATTTAGGGTAGATCACAAATGTGGTATTATTTTTCTGATTTTTGCCTCAGAAAATTCTAAATGGCTGCCAACAGGAATTTGCGTCAATATTGAGATCTTTCTTAAGTATAGCTTTAATATATACTCAAATGAATGGTATGCAAATATATTATCATTTTTCTGATTTGAGCTTCGTTAAATTCAAAATGGCCAACTTATGTGGGATTTCGCAATAATTTTCCGATCTCTTCAAAGTATGGCTACATTATACTCGAATTGAAGGAAATATGCGGAAGATCACAATTATCATATTGTTTTTCTGCTTTGGGCCTCAGAAAATTCAAAATGGCTGCCTAACAGGAATTTGCTGTTACTTAAAGATTTCTTTAATAAGATTTCTTTAAAGCATGTTGACATGTTACTTTATTAGATGTAAAATATATTGGCTTTATTATTTGTGGCTTTTAAACTCTTTAATGGTCACCAAAATGCTTAAATTGGTGGAGATTCTGACATATCTCTAATGTATGTAATCGGTAATATCTACCGATTATATTTCAATGGAAGAGTAGAAATTGGTAAATATTGCATTGTGACAAATACAGATTCATATATGTTAAAGTGTTCATTGGGATACGCTACTCCCTGGAGTTGGCATTTTCTAGTTAAAAGATGAGTATGAAGTGACATATTTCTTGTCACACTGGAGGCTTATGAATGCTTCATTTGACATACCCTATATTACCTTCTTATCAAATCTAAAAACCTTCATAGACTATCTAAATTGCTGCATAGACTGTTTAGCAGTTTATTCCACTTCTACAGAGTTCTCCACTGAATTATCTTAGAAAAACTCTTCATGATTTTTACGCATGCATGCCATCTCGAAGGGAATTTATGATTAGCCTGTCATGGATGTTGAACCATGGACTTGAAGTAATGCATGGAAATTGAATATTGAACAAATATTCCACTCTATTGAGGTGAATACCTGTACATCTTTCACAAGTGATATTCCACGAAGCCCGAAGGGCAAGTGGAATATCACCTTGTGAAAGTGCTACAGGTATTCACCGAAAATAGAGTGAAATATTTGTTTTATTATATCACTGTCTAGCTAAACATCCCTAATATTATTAAGTCATAGGTTAACATTGAAATACATTGAATCTACTCGGTTCGTTTGCCATTTTGACTAAATACTGAACTAAATTATTTACACTGAACGAAAACAAATTCTTTGAAAATTCCCGGGAGCGTGGGATATCGCTAGATATCTCACGGTTGTCTTATCTGATTAGCATTGCCATTGAATATCGCCAGATATCCCACGACATGTGACCCGGTTTTGACCAATCATACTGTCGCTAGCTAGATAGTGATATAATAATTCCAAATATTTTTATTTTTGAGCATATACTTTTTTCAGTTTTTTTAATTTCTCATTTAAGTCAATATTCTTGCTGAAATAAGTTTTAATACTTAGTGGCCTTATAATAAGAATGGTTCCAGAACATTGTTCTATTTGGTTCAAGGACTTTAATTTTCTATTCACCTTGAATTTTTTTCACAATTATATTACCAGTATATAATTTAATGAGCGAATGCCCAGAATTCATAGAGAAAAATCTAGCTCTAGGGTGTAAAGATAAACCTCAAGAATAAGCTTTTAAAAATAACTGCAGTGTTCAATTTTTTACCACCTCAGAAAATGCATTGCTCTTCTTGCATTTCACATTATCGATGGAAAGGAGTGAATACAATTAAAAGAAATAAAACAATATTATAATCTTAGCCTAAATTAGCTTGAAGCTTATATTATGTCATAATTCAGATCAACAGATCATCATTTTTATGCTAAACATAAAATTCACTTACAGTAGGCTCTAGCCTTACATTTATGGTTTATATTTACACAATGTATGAAATTAAACAAGAAAGTTGTTAAGTAAATATAAGTAAGAAATCAGAATCCAATGACCACCTATAATTCAGGGCTAAATATGAAGCCGATCAACAGTACCGAGGTGTTATTATAGAAGTTTTATAAATTACGATCAACAACAGTTGGAGTGTACAGTACTCAAGTTTATATGCAAGATTTTATAAAAACTATTTTGAGTTATGGAATATGTACATCAGAATTTGAACTTTTGTGTTATTATGTGAGAGGGCCTTAATTTTTTGCCTGTTTGCCATTAGAAACATAAAGTCTGTATACAGATTTTTTGTAGCGTAAGCAAGTTCTCTCATTGGATTTCTGAATCGGAAACAGTTATAGACTTAATGTATAATTCATGGGGTCATTGCTTCTGTTTATATATGTCTAGATTTACCAGTAAATTTTTTTTTCATAAACTATAGCATAAACTCAGAACAGTGCAAGTAAGTGCATGCAAAACACATTAAAAAATCAATGGTTATTTTGACAAGGTAATGTTCGGCATACGGAATATCTGGATATGTGACACGATTTAAAGACTAGCTGATTGATTGAACTATTCCAGGAATATTATGGGAATTGGATGATAAAAAATTTGATTGTTACTTGAGGAAGAAAGATACATTCATTGTGACCAACTAAATATAAATAATACATGGGATATTTTATAATATTCATGCAAAGCTATTACTGATTGAAAACAATACATGTACATACATATTGATGTGATACGTCGTTTTATGCAGGATAAATAGTTCCTGAAAACTCAGAAGACTCATTGATGTAGACAGAGATAGACAGAGGAACTTGACTTGTAGATAGAGGTAGGTCTAATTTTGAAATATAAATTCTAGATTTTAGATGATCAATAGGTCTATTTGTTATCAACAAGTGTTGTAGAAATATACCTTTATTTTCTTTTGGGGGGGGGGCAATAGCTGTGACATGTTTATTTGTTGTAAGAAGGGTTATGTGTGATTTCATAAAGAGCATATATATCATCTCTCATTTTCTCCTGGGGGAGAAAACTGAGGTATATCAATACAATTGTTTTGAATGTTCTTGGTGGTCACTGTTCTGTGGTTGGTGACTGGTGTTCAGTTTCTGTACCAAATGGCAGGTGGTGACATTTTGCATGTTAATGCCTGATTGATGCATTATATACATACAAAGTTGTCTTAGTTCATGAATTGAATAATATACACATGACATAACAGAATTATCCAAACAACATAACAGGATTATCAAAACAACCCAAACAATGCCTTTTAGATATGATTTAACTCTACATTGAGTGAGAACAAATACTGTATATACAGTTGGACCTCTTATAAAAACAAGTCAGTAGACAAAAATGTCACATAATCTTCATGTATTTACATTTATAACCGTATGGTTAAATTTTATTGCCTGAATTAATTTTTATGTCACCATCATATTTTTATAGTCTCCTACTTTTTGTGGATGGTGTTCAGTGGTTGGTGTTCGGCATTCAGAGTTTGGTGTACAGAGTTGTTGGAGTTTGGGATCTGTAGCAAATGGCAGGTGCTGACATTTTGCGTGCTAAATGCCTTGTTTATTTATTTCAATGTAAATTACTTTAATCAATATATCGTATAATGTGTTTTTTGCGTTTATCAGGAGCATTTCCTGATTGCATGATAATTAAAAAGAAGTTCTGATTTTTCCTGAGAGCCAAATGATTTTTTTCACATTAGCCAGGTTATAGCCCAGGATTTGATTTTATGTTTCAGATGACTAATAACTACTGATATCATATCACGCAACATTTAGTATTATGTTTCATGCAATTATTGAGTCAAGCCTGATCAATAGGAGTTCCAGCGTTTAACAATCTCAATCCAACAAGCCTAAAACTCTTATGGCAAACCTGAAAATGACAGAGAGGATTTAATTTGAAAATCTCTGGGGCCTTTTTGAAAATGAGGTCCAAATGAGGTCTACATTGGGCCAAAATCAAATCGACTTTTCTTGCAAGCTGGGACATATTGTTATAGTCTTTTTTTGTGGGTGGTGTTTGATGATTGGCATCCAGTGGTTGGTGTTTGGCATTCAGCAATTGCAACAAATGGCAGGTAGTGACATTTTGCATGTTATTGCCTTGTCAATTTTTGGGGTTGGGGCTGTATGCCTCTGTCACATATTAATGAAAATGGACATATTATTGGAGTTGACATATTTAGCACATATACACGTACTTGTAAATACAATGTCCCGCTGGGATATTTAATTACTTCTGTCAAATAAGGCTTTGAGAATAATCAATATTTACTAGTTGTTTAAGATTGATGGATATTTTTTGATTTACATATGCAATCATTCTGATTCTCTCTCTCTCATTCTCATCATTGAGCCTGTAACCTTTAATATGAAAATTAAATATCCAAGACAGACTGATACCTTAACCAATATAGGTTGTAGTTATCCCACCGAACGAAGTTCGAGAGGGATATAGCCTATAGGAAAGCCGTCCGTCCGTTCGTCCGTCCGTCCGTCCGTCCGTCTGTTTGTCCGGGCGATAACTCAAATACCGTTTCACGGATTTGATTCAAATTTTATAGGCTTATGCCTTATGGGTGTAGGACCTCTGCTCGAGAAGGAATTTTCAATATGGCCACTCAATTCAAAATGGCCACCATTTTTCGTAAAAAATGTAATCTTTAATAACTCAAATACTAGTTTGCAGATTTGGACATTTGGTTCAAATTTTATATGCTGATGCCTAGGGACAAAAGAATTTCGCACAAAAAGAGATTTTCAAGATGGCCACTTAATTTCAAAATGGCGGCCATTTTTCGTAAAAATATGTAATCTTTGATAACTCAAATACCAGTGAACGGATTTAGTTCAAATTTTATATGATGATGCTTAGGGACACAGTGGCTATGTTCAACAAAAATTTTTCAAGATGGCCGCTTAATTTCAAAATGACAGCAATTTTTCGTAAAAAACGTAATCTTTGATAACTCAAATACCAGTGAACAGATTTGGTTGAAATTTTATATGATTATGCTTAGGGACACAGTAGCTCTGTTCAAGAAATAATTTTCAAGATGGCGGCTGAATTATCTTTGATAACTCAAATACCAGTGAACAGATTTGGTTGAAATTTTATATGATTATGCCTAGGGACACAGTAGCTCTGTTCAAGAAATAATTTTCAAGATGGCGGCTGAATTTCAAGATGGCCGCCAATTTTCGTAAAAAACGTAATCTTTGATTACTCATATACCAGTGAACGGATTTGGTTCAAATTTTATATGCTGATGCCTAGGGACAAAGGAGTTTCGCACAAAAAGAGATTTTCAAGATGGCCACTTAATTTCAAAATGGCGGCCATTTTTCGTAAAAATATGTAATCTTTGATAACTCAAATACCAGTGAACGGATTTGGTTCAAATTTTATATGATGATGCTTAGGGACACAGTAGCTATGTTTGACAAACTTTTTTCAAGATGGCCACTTAATTTCAAAATGGCGACAATTTTTCATAAAAAACGTAATCTTTGATAACTCAAATACCAGTGAACAGATTTGGTTGAAATTTTATATGCTTATGCCTATGGACACAGTAGCTCTGCTCAAGAAATAATTTTTAAGATGACGGCTGAATTTCAAGATGGCGGCCAATTTTTGTAAAAAACGTAATCTTTGATAACTCATATACCAGTGAACGAATTTGGTTCAAATTTTATATGATGATGCCTAGTTCACAATGGTATAAATCAACTTTGAACCAAATTTCATGCATTGCTTCTATCACAAAGTGCACAACCATTTCAATAATAAGCATAATATGTTTTGTTCGGTGGGATTTGCTACTCCGTGGAGTTGCTGTTTTTCTAGATACTGATACCTTAACCAATAATGGTTGTAGTTACACATCTTAACCGCGATGGAGTTTCCTTTTCACTTCCCTATGTATGATTTTAGTTAAGTAGTCACATATTTATTTTATTTGATACCCTTGTCATGCTGAATTGAGTATATTTTCAAAAATCCCAAATACAAATACTATACCTTAATTCTTCCTTTTAAGGTAGTCAGTATATCGGGTGTAATCTTGTTGAAAATCAATTTAAATGACTGATTTGGAAAATTGTGAAAAGAATATAAATTTTACGAGTTATCGCTCATATGGTGAATCTGGATAATACTTTAACTGGCTATTATCTAAACTTATCTATTGTACATGTGCTTTTGCAATTACACGTAATAACCCTAATGGATTAGCTCCTATTCCCCCTGGGGCTCCTACTAGAATATAATATAATTCATCAATTAATAGCACTGTATTATCATGGATTTATTGTTATGTATGAATAGCTATTGCAGTTGTGGATTACCAATGAGATTAAATGTGCATTTTATTCTTCATAAAAGTGTTCACTTTCAAGTATATTAATCTTCATGCTGAAACATTAAACAACACATCCCGTTTCCTGAACGAACAAATTTTCAATTAATTTGGAGTGGAATTAAAAGATTGGATTTCTGAATGTCAGAATGTTACTTTGGGATTACCTTTTGGAAACACTTCACTTTGTCTATACTCTTTAAAAGAGATATGATTCTTTGATTTAGTGTATATCCAATCAGAATATGAAATCAGAGAATCCACTTCACAATACATGTACTGCAAGTAACAAAATCAGCCTACAATGAGCTAACATTTCTAGTTTTAAAAATCTATGAAATTACATGTGAGATTATTAAGATATTTTCAGCTTTAGAACAGTAAATTTACCTGTAGCTACCAAGGTTTCAAGATAATTTTTAACAGAATTAGTTTTCATAGATCAATAACAATCAATGCGGTTCTCTGAATTGTCAGGTGAACATTGTACCTGCTATATATTTAATTATACTATTCACACATTATTATGTGAGCCACATATTGCACTAGTCACACTTTAATTATGGTAGCCACATATTACTGCATTAGCCACACAGTAAATACTAGCCACACATTATACTAACCATACATTTCTGTACAAGCCACATATTCTTATGGTACCAACACATTATACTAGCCACATTTATTATTGTACTAGCCACACATTATAATAGACACATATTAAATATACTGCCCACATATTGCTGTCATATTATTTAAGCCACATATTATAATACTAGCCACATATTGTAGTAGCCACATATTATTATATAAGCCACACATTATGATATAAGTTAGCTATTATTATAGTAGACACACATTATTATTAGAGCTACATATTGCTATACTAACCACACATTACTATACTAGTCATATATTATTATACCATTCACCATCTACTTTTATATAAGGTATTAACCTAATTTTATTCAGTCTGCATTACAATACAACACCATAAATATTTAGAAACAATTGATGACATGTTTTTATCCAGTTACTATGACAATATAAGTGGAGAAACAAGATTAATAGCAAAGGGATAATCAGAGAAGATAGCAACTCATTCATATCAAATTTAATTTTTAATTGAAAGGTGTTAATGACTCATTTCAGACCAGTAGGCTGTTGTTGGGAAGGATGGGGGCTCTGAAGGTCCCCTCTGGCAAAAATTTCTTTCAAAGTCATGCAATTTTTCACCATTCTGAAATTTTTTGGAAAGAAATTTTGAGAAAAAAATAACTTATTGTATATTACTGGGAAAGTAGTTTGAACACAATTTCTGTTTATTTTAAAGGAGAGACATAATTTTCAGGAAATGGTTAAATAACAGGCAGGGCTATGTAAAAGACTGGTGACCAGAAACAAGAATACTTTTATGGATATCTTTACTTGATTATCAAGGTTCATGTTAAAATATTTTGACCCTTCATAATTTAATTGTATGAAAATCAGTTTACCTGATAAAGATGTATGAATACATCAAAAATTTGTAAATGTCAACATTTTGTTTTAAAAAAGCTAGATACAGCAAAACCTGTGTAATTGGATCACTTTTGGAACTTTAAAATAATATTCCACTTGAGATGTGTTCTACTTACGGAGGTTCATTTCACATGAAGTGAGAAACAGGACTTTCAAAAATGTTCCAGACATGAAGATGTCCCACTTCCAGAGGAGTTCCACTTTATAGGTGTTACTGTATTGGTTATTATTAGATTGACACTGAACATTTTTATTATATGTACATGTAATAAAACATGAAATGAAACTGTCAAATGTTCAGATATGAAAATGTAAGCATAGTACCCCGCACAACCACTTAAGAATCAATTGTCATACAAGTAAAATTACTTGTATCTTTGGCTATCTTTTCTCAAAAACAGTATATGCCTTGTTTAAAACCTTAGAGAATTTCTAATGACAACCTTTCAATTGTCATAATATTTCAAATGGCAGGCGTAGAATACAGACTTGTTTAAAAGACCATACTATGACATTACAATGACCAACATTGTTTGGGATGTTTGTTTGTTTTCTTTATTTTTTGCAAAAATTGAAATAACTCTGTGAGAACTCATTTTTTATAGAAACTTTCTGGTACTTTTTACTTTTAAACAGATTTTCTTATTTTGTTATTAGATATTGTCTCAGAGATGTTACATTATTCCCAAATGGCTGCATTGGCTACTATTTCAAGTAGAAATAATCTTGATTTACGTCATTAAAAATTTAAAATTCAGTCAAAGTGATATCATAGTTGTCATAGCATAAGTGAACCTCTGAAGTTAAAATATGTAGTTTTTTGATAATTGTGTCACGACCTGAAATGGTGACATATTGTTATAGTACCAAACTTTTTTGTGGACAGTGTTCAGCAGTTTGCATTTGGTGGCAAATGCAGGTGGTTACATTTTGCATGTTAATTAAATGCTTTGTAATTCATAACAGAGATTTATCAATGTTTACTGTGTCTCTAATATACAGGGTGGGCCAAAAAACAATACCCAACTTTAAATCAGTATGAAAATAGCTATGTTCAATATGATATATTGATTTATATATCATTTTTAAGGTAATTCATTTTCGAACAATTTGGTATATAATACTATGCCATGAAATCAATATTTAAGTTTTATTATGCTTATTGTAGATGACTAGTATCTGCTAAGTGAAAAACACCCTTGGGATGTTATATTTATATATTATGTAAATTATTCATTTGCCTTTCAGAGAGAACAATAAAGAGTGAACAATTGGTTTGGGATTACATGAATCATGGTGAGTATTATACATGTGTGCATAATCAGATAATGATGGGATCTTTATTCATTGACTTGCATAATGTCTTGTGTGTTCTAGACTATTCTACAAAATATTTTCTATGTTAATTTTTATGAATTAATGTCTCCGCCAAAAGTGATAACATATTGTTATGGTCTCTAACTTTTTGTGACTGTGATTGGCATTCAAAGTCTGAAACAAATGGCAGGTCATGACATTTTGCATGTTTAAGTTCTGCATTTTTATTTCAATTTGGTGGATCATCCAAATTAAAACGGCCGCCAAATTAAGTAGAAGTACAGTATATCGATATAATGGTGTCCATGTTTTAAATTACAATCGAAAGTAGAAAAAGATGGGGAATAGCAAGGAATGCTCTGTAATGAATGTTCTAATGACAAACCACACTTTCTCTATCTCCGTCCTTCTTGATATCTGCAATACAAGAGAGGAATGCTATATGGATATCAGAATGGTGAATGTATACCATTGCTTCTGCTTGTGATATGCCTTATTTATTTTGTATTGGATAATATTAAAGTTAATACGTACAAGAGCAGTGGGATTCTGACAGGTTTTCTCCCAAAGGGATTATGTGAAAAATCATTAATTTAATCATGTTAGGCTAGAGATTTACTACAGGGGCTACATTAGTAGTCAAGGCAACGTGGAATTATTCTCATGCAATTTTTACCAAAATTGTCTGTTGTTTTGAGGAATTTTACTTACATTCTTTAATTACATGCTACATAAAATTCCACTAATGATTAATTCCATTCCTATTTGTTTTAATTTTTATATCATCACCACAAGTGGTGATATATTGTTATAGTCTCTAACTTTTTTGTTGACAGCGTTTGGCATTCAGTGGTTGATGTTTGGCATCTGTAACAAATGGTATGTTGTGGTCAGTGATGAAAGAGAAAAAGGAACATCTATAAATTGATTCAAGCCAGTGGGGAAAAGTAATATTAGAATATGCACATCTGCAATGAAAATTCTGAAACAAGGAAAGAAAAATATTTTTGCTCGATGATATGGTGTTTGCTATATTTTTCAAATATTTAATCTGGTATTGACTTAATGAAGTATTAGGAAAAATGCTACCCTGCGTGCAGAGTCTAGTTATAAACTACCCTCTGCCTAGTATTTCAGTTTAGCAGCCCCATCCCAAAGTTTAGTGCCAGTAACATCCCAGGTAATAAATCATTTTAAATCTACCATGCTGACCTTTCTGAACCAATCAGCGAAGTGGAAGGAACGCGTGCTAAAAACGTGTCATTACTATGCGGTAATGCGGTAATGACCATATAGAAAGTCGTCCGAATTTCGACTATGAACTCTGATTGGCTCGGTGAGATCAGAGATTTATTGTAAACTGTAAGATTAAAGATGAAGCTCTCTTTTTAGAAGTGAAGTCGAATGAATGCAAAGGGTAGAAAAATGCTGCCTTTATTTTTCTCATGTCCTTAAAGGGGCAATAAGGCTTGTAGAGAGAAAATAGGAAAATTTTAACTTTTTCTGAGCTATCAAGGCAACAGTTGGCTTAACATCTTATTCGACATACCTATTTTCTTAAAATATATGGATAAACTATCAATTTCGGCATTGAAAAGTGTAAATTCAGTTCAAAGCTTCAAAAAGGGGACGTCCACTTTTATATTTTTAAGATCCACCATGTTTCAAGAGGAATATAAGCTGAAATAATGATTATCTAGGGGGTTTCTTTGTAGAAAATAAAAATAGATGTTAGTCTAGATGAAATATCCAAACTTAAATATATTTTGACACTGGTCCATGATCGTTGAATGGCCCCTCTGCACTACTTGTTGCACCTTTAAGGACTTATACCGTTACAGATCAAAGCATTTTGATACTCAGACCATCTCTGACTTGTACTCTAAGTGACTGATAGAAACTGGTGAATCATTCATGATATAACAAGGACTATGATATATTGGTCCTTATATTGATATATTGGTTTGACTAATATATAGATTGATTGCTCTACATATACATATTATATCTATAGATATATTGGTCTATATTTTTTCCCAGGGTCAGTCATGTACATGTTACTATTTATATATCAATTATATTTGTATATCAATTTTTGCTTTGATTTCTAGAAATCAATAGTTAACACTATCAAATTAAATAATTCTTATAACTGTTGACACATGGATATCATCCCTAAATGTAATATTTGTTGTTGTCGTTTATTTAGGGTATTTTATTCTATTTTTCTTCTCTGGTCCTCATCATGCTTTAAGTGCAGTGTTTGTACATTTGATTCTTGTCATGACATGGTCCCTCGCTGTCCGTAATGAATTCCCTATTCATTTAGATAGCATTCAGCAGGATGATTATTCGCTTATCAATTTTTTATTGTTTTTATGTGCCTTCATGAGATAATGGGACAGAAAACATTTATTGTAATAAACCAACATTTATAGTAAAAGCTTTTAGTAATGTACTTATTTCATTTATTGCTCTATTAAGGCCAAGGAAATTAATTCTACATCTGGTTATTAGGTAAGACAACAATTCCAAATAAAAGTGAATAAATTAAAGTATGTAATAATGCTAAAAGAAAATGGGGAGAAAATCTGAAAACTAGACTTGACTGGTTAGTCTGAAATCTGAAACACTGTATTTGGACCGAAACAAAAAAAATTTTCCTGGCCCAACAGATTCTATATTAATTTGATAAAAAGGAAATTTCTAACAGTTGAAGCTAAGTGGCATGTACTGGTAACAGTGAAGTTCATGTGGTAATGACTCTTATATTAACCCCTTAGATACTAGTCTTGTTTCAATACTGTGGACCTGTTGCCATCACATTTTGGAGCAAAATTGGTATATCTTATTAGATAAATCTTGTCAAAGTAAGATCAAGTTTAGCGAAAAATGATGCAAGTTTTTTGTGACTCATGGTATACAAAATGTTAAAAAGTTCCTGTTGACTTACACTTGAAAATGTGGAAGGGATAGTATGATTAGTATCCAAACGTTGACAGTTTTTGGCAAAGGAGCAGGTAAGATATGGCAAGCCATTTTCAAAGGGCTATATCTTTAATTCTAAGAATACTTTAACCACAAAAACAAATGGTTCTATTAGATCCATGTCTTGTCTTCAATAAATGACAGTAGGATAATAATCAAGTTGAATGGATTATCTCTTAAGCTGTTCCTAATCCAACCATCTTCACCAATTTTCCCTAATTCGGACGCAATTTTCACCAAAAATGCAGCATTTTATTTCAGTTTTTATGGCAAAATTACAATTTATTGTAAGGAATGATCTACCTCTAAAAAAGAAAACTTGATTACTTTGGGATTAGGATAATCCAAAACAATAACTTTTTTAGGCCGAATTTTTTACCTAAAAGTAGCAATTTTTTAATGAGATTAATGCATGAAAACATTGAGCTATGTCACATGATTGATTTCCAAAAAGAAAAAAATGATCTAAATGAGATAAGCATTATCTGATAATCCATTTGTCATTTTTACCTCATAGGCCATGACCGTAGTGTGAAGTGTATGAAAAGATGTCACTTAGAGCTACATTTAGATGTACCCTATTTTATGCAATCATGTTTATAGATAGAGTTATAAATGTTCCATAGATGGCATGATATATTCTACATGGGTGAGTGCTAGATACTCTGTGTATTCATTGTTGCATAATTGCGTATTATAGAAATGAGCATGGATATGTCAACATGACTGGGTCGTGTAAAGTATGTACAGTAAAACATAAATATGTTTAACACCTAGTAAAACACATAAAATAGACTAGAATCATATGATGATAAAAGCCTCTAGAAAATGAAAGTACTTATATTTCAACGAGCAGGCAAGAGACCTGTATCAAAATACTCCTTTATATATAACAAAAGATTTGTGAGATTTAACATGGTGAACGAGGTGTCAAAAGGCACTAATTAGACAATTAATTAAAATAATATTCTTCATCCCTTAACTAGTTCAAACAATACAATCAGTGTTGATCACCACATAAATAGTTGTGGTTAACTTGTCATTGTGCCAGGTTGGAGCTCTGCCAGCCAATCTAGTGTTACGATAATGGTACTCTTTCTGGTTTGATTGGCTTTATTGAACTAGTACGGTCTAGTACCAATAATCACCACTCACAATCATCTCCCTATCAAAATAGACTTGTTAGTCAATGGTTCAGACAGTGGGGTCTATCACACAGAAAACAGTATGCAGTTTCTGTACTAAATCCAGAAGAAGGTCAAACGTTATAAAAAGCTCAAAAGAAACAGTCGAACACAATAAAGAGACCCTTGAAAATACAATTGATGCATAACATCCAAACAGGATCTCTACAGATAATTCATAAATCATATGATATATTTTCAACAATGGGGAAGGTACAACTCCACAAAAGTTAAAATAGCACAATACATTTCTGATATACCAGTATAGTACACCCGGGATAGTACACAACCACCAGTGTAATATAATTCTCGATAGTACCAACAATATCCATCATTGGGATTGGTATCACCTAATGTCAATGAAATGCAAAGATCATCGAGACTATTCTTTCAAAATTCAAATGTGATATAACATCAGTATCTATTTGGCATGCAGCATTCTCTCACAAGTGAATTATCTTCTGCTGCTTAGAGGAACATGTTCTTAGTTGTCAGATGTGAGAGAAAGAAATTGTGTAAAAACATTGAAAGTTGTAAATACAACCTGGTATACCCCATTGTTCAAAATGGCTGATCGATGACAGCCTGTGGTGATGATACTGAAGAATATGTTTCCATATAACATTGTATGTATCAATGTCAATTTTATAGTGTTATTTAGCAAACTGATCATTGTGTTTGCAAAGGTATTGAATATATTAAAGTATGCATTTTTGGTATGATATTCTTTACTTTTATGAATATTTGAATAATATAACTGAAGGAATATGACAAAATGTAGTACTGAATAAAATTGAATAAGAATAT